GAGCCAGAGGGTTGTGTTTGGGCTCTTAAATCCTTTGGCTTGGAAGTATCACAGCCACTTATGCTCACAGCCCATTGGCTGGAAAGGCCGTATGCCACTGCCTTCCTGCAAGGTGGCTGTTCATCTCCTCGCAGTGACCTGGAGGGGATGCCACAGCCTCCTCCCCAGCCTCCTCCTGCTGCTCATCCGGGATTGCTAGAGCTCCTGAGCCCTTTGCTGGCCACCCTGAGCCCTGGTTTTATTATGTGGTTATCTGATCCCTTGGGAAGGGTTCTTATGATACATTATTTTCCAAAATGTATCCTGAGAATAGGTGTGGCCCTCTTGAAAAACTGGTATACTTCCTCTTCCACAAGCAGTGAGTATTAAATCATCTGTCTTGATCACCTTTCAGTCTGGGCTAATCAACTCACAGCAAACCTTGGAGTCCCTATGTCAACTCAGGAATTTTATAGCATTGCTCCTTCCTTTACCCGATTATAATACATTTCCTATTTCTTTAATCATGACTTGGTTGAGTGCATGATTTTCATCGTCTACCAACCCCCATCTCTTTTGGAAGTTTCCAGGTTTACATTACACATAAATTAAAATAGAGGTTAAAGAAAAAGATCTTCCATTCAGTGAATGCTTCCTTGGTGCCAGCTGCTTTATGTGCCTTTTCTCATTCATTCCTTAGGGCAACCCTATGAGATGTAATTGTCCGCACTGGATGAGTAAGGAAACAAACTCAGAGGGGCTATGTGGCTTGCCAAGCCCACACAGCCAGCAGAGGGAAACTAAACCCACTCTACTTATGCCAAAGGCTGGGTTCCTAACCACTTTTATTTTACATCACATAGACAGATGATTTCATTCAGGTAATGGGTCCTGTCCTCACCCAGCTTTTGCTTTCATTAATTCAGACTTTCTGTGATCTATGAAAATTGGAAATGTTTGTGAGCCAGAATCTTTCATTTTTTTTTAAGCTGGTATGGTGGCCTCTTGGGGAAATAGGAGGTTTTGTATTATAGCTTCTGGTTTCAATCTTTTTCATTTTCTTTTTAAAATTAAGAAGTAATATATTTACAGAGTTGTGCTTAATGAATTTACACACACGCACAGGTAACCACCACCTAGATCAAGATCTAGAACATTCCCAGCACCCCAGAGTTTTCCTCACATCATTTTCCATCTCCTCCTTTCCCCAAGCTAATTGATATTTTGACTTGTATCACCATTTACTAGCTTGCCTGTTCTTGAACTTTATATAAATATTGCACTCCTTTGTATCTATCTCTTTCTCTCATCATTACATCTATGAGGGTCATTCACGTTGTTGAATGTAGCAGTTCATTCAGTCTTGGTTCCTGCTGTGTGGTATTTCATCTTAGGACCATGCCACCATTTATTTACTCATTCTGCTGTTGAACGACATGGGTATTGTTTTCAATTTCTGGCACATAAGGGGGGCGGGGAAGCTGCTGTGAACATTTTCATTGCCTTTTGGTGGATTTATTAATTTCTTTTTGGCTGGTATTGTTGTATCTATTTTTATCTTCTTGAATTTCGTGGGTATCATTTGGCTTGTTAGATTTAATAGCTCAGGTTTTTATAGGTCATGGAAGTCCTAGACCAGTGATCTGCAAACTGCAGCTTGCAAGCCACGTGCGGCTCTTTGGCCCCTTGAGTGTGGCTCTTCCACAAAATACCAACTTCTGCGCATGGGCCACGAAGTTTCAATCACACCGTACGTGCGCACCCGCACATGGTATTTTGTGGAAGAGCCACACTCAAGGGGCCAAAGAGCCGCATGTGGCTCTTGAGCCGTGGTTTGCCGACCACTGTCCTAGACCATAAGTATGTTAATATCTAGTCTTACAATATAAAAAAATGAATGGGTTCAATTTCCATCTTATGAAAAATAATTAGTAACAAAGCATAGTATTTAGTCTTCAGAATACTCACAATTTGTGTAGATGTTTTTGTTTGCAAAACTTGGCATATTGGTCAGAATACTTCTCTTTCATTTGCAAATTACAGAAACCCAATTCAAAATAACTTAAGTCAAAAGGGAATGTAATGAACCAAGTATTCAGTGGTTGTCTACCTTCAGGCATGGCTGGATCCAGGTGCTTCAAAAATGCCAATAGCGCCCTAGCCAGTTTGGCTGGTTTGGCTCAGTGGACAGAGCAACGGCCTGCGGACTAAAGGGTCCCAGGTTCAATTCCAGCCAAGAGCACATGCCCGTGTTGTGGCCTCGGTTCCCCCCGCCCCATACTCCCTTCCCCATAGGGGATGTGCAGGAGGCAGCCAATCAATGATTCTCTCTCATCATTGATGTTTCTATCTATCTCTCTCCCTTCCTCTCTGAAATAAATTTAAAAAATTTTTTAAATGTCATCAGCATTTGATTGTGGGGGGCTGTTTCTCTCTTTTCCATGTCCCGCATGGAAAAGGAAACAGTCCATTTGCTGAGTGGAGGAGCTGGGGATTAAGAAATTAAAGAAAGACCAAGATGCAGAAATAGATTTTAAGCTGGGACCAGGTGGGCACCATCCTCTCTGATGGAGAGGCGGCAAAGGCGGCCTGAGCCACACAGCAGGTTTATTTTAAAGGCCTAGATTTACATATCTAGTTCCACCCCTGCCTGATTAACATGTCCAGCCTTACTGGGGAAGCATGTTCCCAGGGCGTGGCTCTGCCTATGCTCTGAGTTCAGCTGACAATAATTATAAGAAAATGCCTAGGTGCCTCCCAGGCGGCCCTCTACATTTGATTTCTATTTCTATTAATCTCTTGGCTCTGTTCTCTCCCCTGTTGACATCAGAGAGCTTCTCTCTTCCCAACATGTCTGACCAAAGTCCCAGAATTGAATCTTATTGGTTATGACCCTGACCCAATCCTGTGGCCAGAAAGAAAATAATTCTGATTGGTTCATATGTTCCACACCTGGACTGAGAGTGGGACTGTTCCTCAAGGAAAACTGTTTCCATAAGAGAAAGAAGTAGATGCTTGGCAGAAACAAAATAAAGAAAAATGGACTTACACTATGCTGAGAAATATGGAACTGGAAAATGAACATTCTAAGACTATAGGTGATGGAAGAAGGTTAATTGTTTCTAGCTCTGATGACTCACCCGAAAGTCTAACCACTTTTGTTTGCATAAAGATAAATTTGTAAACATTAGCTGAACTTTGAAAATTGTCTACTTCCATTTTTTGAAGGCCTCACCATTCATCTAATGCTTGTTTGCCTGGAGATATTTTTGTCTTTTATTTTCTCTTCCCTCTCCCCTTTCCCATATAGATTTAGTCCACAAATCCTATTGATTATTCCTTTAAATTTTCTCCCCTACTTATTATTATTTTTACTGTTACTACTGATACTACATCAGCAGTTCCAGGCTTATAGTCTATCATTGGAGCAACTCTAGTGACATAAGGACACGTCTTTCCCAGTAATTCTAGTCAAAGTCTTAGAAGACTGAATAGGGTTATGTACCCATTCCTGAACCAAACCCTGGGGCAAGGGCATAGTGAACAGTGATTGGCCAGGCCTGGGTCATGTGACCATCTTTGGTACCAGGAATGCCATCAGCAATTCCTGTATCACCTGGACCAAGAGTGGGAGAGGGGCAGATGTCCAGAGGAAAATAAGGGCATTGATGCAAAAAAAGGGGAGATGGGTAATAAGCAAGTAAAAGCAACCGATATCTGTCAGGGCCAGCCTGACAGGTTGAGCCGGGCTGAGGCAGGGAGATGGGAAATGAGAAAAGAAAGAAAGACAGGAAAGCGGGATCAGGAGGACTCCAGTTCTTGAGGAACTGAAGCAACTTTATTAGCCACACAATCCTATTTATATACAACACACTGAATAGGAGGTCTGTCAAGAGGAATGTATTCTTTGTTCCTCTTAATCTCTAAGGGAGGGACAGAACAGAAGGACAAGTTCTCAGTACAGCATATCTCAGTAAATAGTTACAGACTTCTTGGTAAGCCATGAAAGGCTGTTCTCATTCTACAAAGGTTGCTCTTATTCTACCGGTAACCGCCATCCAAACAAATCTGGGAAAACTGTGTGGGTAAGGGTTCCAGCCTTGCTAGCCCCTTTAGGTGCAAGGACCTTGCCAGCTTACATCTGGCCCCCAACAGATATCCAACACAGTTATAAATCAGAAGTGTTGAAGTTTTGCTTTATAAATTTCAACATATGTCGCATCTATAGATTAGAGTTCATGGAACTCATAAAATCATATTTTCAAACTGGAAGGGATGGTACCGATTGTCTCCTTACCCAAGTCCTCTAGTTACCATTAACCATCTTCCTTCAGGCATTCATACTAATTTATGCTTTGAACTCTAGAACCACTAGTGCAATCAAAGGACTCAAAAAGTACTTGTTCCTTCCAAGCTTTTGGTTCATAGTACCCCTCCTTCCCAACTGAGGGATTATATTGGTCAGGATAAAAGTTTGGCCACACATATCAGAGACCCAAAAAAACAGTGGTTTACGTAAGATAAATGTTTCTTTTTTTCTTGACATAAAAGCCCAAGCTGATATGTCAGCACTGACCTGTGACATCAGCAACCCAGGCTTCATCCCTCTGTTGAGCTGCTATGCCTGGGGTGGTAGGGTGGGTGCTGCTTTTGTGTGCGTGCCCAAGATGGCACACCATCACTTCCGCATTCCAGCCACAAGAAGCAAGGCCTGAGAAGGGGACGCATACCCCTTCCTTTTAGCAGCACAACCTGAAAGTTGTACATATGGCTTTTGCTCACATCCCATTGACCACACTAATGGCCACAGCTGGGTTCACAGGGGGCTGGGAAATGTAGACTTTATTCTGGGCAGCTGTGTACCCAACTATGCAAGAAAGAAGGACAAATACTGGGAGTTAACCAGCAACCTCTGTAGGGAAGAAAGGAAAACATCTGACCTTTTCCTTCCTTTTTGTTTTTCAGATTTAAAAAAGATACCTGAGTCGCGCAAATGCAGGAACACTTGAACATTCCACGGTGAAGGATCTGTCCCAGCATGTCTGCCTATTACAGGAATAATGGGTATGAGGAAGAGCCGGATTACCCTGGTTATTCAGAGTCTCGGAACCACACGCAGGGGTATCTGAACACCCAGGATTATCCAGGTTCTCTGAACAACTCCGCTTACTCCAAAACCAGGGGGAACCCATACTCTGCAGACTCCAGAGCAAGTCCAGACTATCCCTGGTCTCTAGCAGAACCAGATTACCCTGGATCTTTGAGTAATCCAGACTATTCTGCCATCAGAAACGATCCGTACTCTGCAAGCTCCAGAAGACAACCAGGCTATCCCCGGTCTCTAGCAGAACCAGATTATTCCTGGTCTCAGAATAATTCAGACTACCCTGGCACCAGGAGCAATCCATACTCCGCAGACTCCAGAAGAAGTTCAGACTATCCCACATCTCTGGCAAAGCCAGATGCCTCTTGGAGCGATCCGTACCATCCATACTCATTCAAAGAGCCAGACTACTCTGAATCTCCACGAAATCCTAACTTTGCAGGTTCCAGAGGCAGTGGAAACTATGCGGGCTCCAGAACAAATCCTGATGATCTTGGCTTCTTGGGAGAACCAGACTATCCTGGGGCTCAGGGAAATGCCACCCATCCTGGCCCCAGAGCCAATTCCAACTATCCAGGCTTTAGAAGGAATCAAGGATATGCTGGTTCCAGGATCAAACCATCCATAGATGCCCTGGGAGAGCCTGATTACCCAGGTGCTGAGAATCAATCTTACTCTCCAAACTTTTTAGAGAAACCAGATTATCCCGGTGCTGAGGACTATCAGAACTCTCTACATTTTGGGAGGGAGCCTGATTACCCAAATGCTGAAGATGATCGTGATTATGGCTCTTCCAAGACTCTGGAAATGACCAGGGGGTAAGTGCAGGCATCTCCCTCCCCTGGGGGTGGAGGCTGAATCAATGAAACTCGGTTGGCATTGTTTGGGTTAGGGACACATATTGTGGTTTTCGTGACCTGAAGTTACGGTGAAACTTTCATACCTACCTGTAGACCCTACCTGGGCCATGGACTCTCAGCCTGAGGCTTCAAGCCTTTACCTGAACATAATCTTTCCTCAGCTCTTGCTTGAATAACACCTTCCCCAGGCTCCACCTGGTATCTAATTCCTGTAAAACATTTAGATCCCCCCTGTTTTGACCGGCTGCTTTGCAGGCCAAAGGCTTGATAGTTACGACCACAAACATTTTAACCAGAAGTGTATCAACAGGAATGCATTGCAATAAAGAAAATCTTTTGAAGGTCTAACTCCATGAATTCAATTTAATTCTTCAACTGGTTATCTTTATGGCTGAGCCATTAAAAAAAAACTTGTAATCTTCCCTCAATTTTTGGTCATTGACCAATTTTACTAGATGCAGTTCTAGTTTGAGTGACTTAGTTCTACCAAATCTAATTTCTTCCTGGGTTAAAATTTTCAATGTCCATGTTGCCAACAAGATGTAACTCTTTAGTAAGTGTGTGGTTTTTTTCATCGATAATAAGTCCTAGCCAGTGTGGCTCAGATGATTGGAGTGAGATCCTGTACACCAAAAGGTTGTGGTTCAATTCTGGTCAGGGCACATACCTAGGTTGCAGGTTGAATCCCCATACGGGGCAGGCAACTGATAGATCAATGCTTCTCTCTCATCTTTCTCTCTCTTCCTTTCTCTCTCTCTCTCCCTTCCTCCCTCTCTCTCTCTCACACACACAAAAATCAATAAAAACATGCCCTCGGGTGAGGTTTAAAAAAAATTGGTAACAAATTTTACCATGTGAAATTCTAATCAATATGAGTCTCATTTTGCATGTACTATTTCTACTAGTAATATTTATGAAATCAACAAAAACTAATGGCTTGTTTTATCTCAAGGAACAAGGATATGGGATTTGGGTATGTACCAGGGTCAAAATGTCTTTGTCCTAAATAGTAAGATTAACAAGACCAGGTCAAATTGTCCTCCTTGGTCTTGTCCTCCCTGCCGGATTCATCATTCCAAAATACACTTCTGACCCTGTCACTCCTTTGCTTCTCATCTTCCATGAGGCCCTATCGCCTTTGGGGGAAGGGCTGCACCTGTGAGGACATTTTAAAATGAGGATGCACTAAATGAGGATGGGCTAATTGTAATATGCCAGCCAAAGACTTGACCTCCTTTCTCCACTCTTATCCCTTGTCTACCTCAACCTTATATCTAAGATCAGTGTTCTTGATCTTGGCTGATTCTTAGAATTACCCGACCACCTGGGAAACTTTAAAAATAATACAGAGCCTGGGCCCAACTTTCAGAGCTTCTGATTTAATTGTCTGGGTGGGTCTGGGAATTGGTATACACATAAAATTGAGAACCATTGTTAATTTATTTAAATGAGCCAGATTAATTTATTTTCATACCATTCCCTGTATATATTCAGCATTTTTTGGTCTCATACCTTTATTTATGCTGTTCTTCATCCTTGAAATGTCCTCCTCTTAACTCTTTATGTATGAATTTATCCTTCTAATCTCAGTTTGAATATAGATTCCTACCCCTTCCCCCAAAAACTCCCAGCCAGAATTCTTCTCTCCTTCCTCCAAACTACTTGGGCCTATTTTCTGATCCTCAACAATTACTACAGTGGGGCCTTGACTTACGAGTGTCCCAACTAATGAGTTTTTCGAGATACAAGCCGTCTCAACCGATTTTTTGCTTTGAGTTGTGAGCTAAAATTCGGGTTACGAGCCAGCTTCAGATACCCCACCGCTAGTTGGCGCAGCGAACGTCACAGTGAATGCCACAACATCAGCCCAGCATCACGTGTCTCACTCCTTCACTTTTTGATTTGACATACGAGTAATTTGAGTTACGAGCTCCGTCACGGAACGAATTAAACTCGTAGTTGTATTATTATTGTACAAGGCCCCACTGTACTTGTATTATTATTGCCTTTGGCTATTTCTAAGACGCTCTACCGGGTTTTATTGGGAGTTCCTTGAGGGTAGATACTCCAAGTCTTTATCTTTATGTCCTCACTTCCCAGCCCATGCCTAATACATGGTTGGTATTTATTTGGCAATTGTAACATGGATGGATGGATGAATGGATCAATGGATGAATGGGTGACTGTCCTTACCATGCTACTGGATGGATGTTGATCCATCATGTTGGGATTTCAGGGTGCTCAGCAGAACATCTTCAGTCCATCATGGGCGTGTCAGCCCCTTGGGCTTGCTTGCAAGGCAGCATGAAGAATATCCTGAAAACATTGAAATGGAATCCATGGAGATGGCAAATCGCTATGGCCACTCTGATAATGGCTATGGTAAGCATTTGTTAAAATGAGATCATATCCTGGGAAGAAAGTAAAATTCAGTGGACTTAGGGCAACAATCATTAAAGATTTACAGCAATAGAAGAATTGGTGTATCTCTCTTCACTCAAGCACCCACATTACAAGGAATGAGAACTCAGTGTCTAGAGAAGAAGAAGTATCATTAAGTATCAGAGCAGGCCAGGTAGGAGTTGTGCGTACGTGATGTAGCCAACGTCCAGGGTCCATGCCTTGCGGTTATGCAGGGAAATGTGGGTTCAGTGTGGCCAGATCCTCAGATTTTTCTAAAGAAGTGAGAAATCTTTGTTTTTATGTGAATGCCCCCCCACCCCTGATTTTTACATACTCCAAAAAAATAATAAAAATGTAAAAAACTCTGAGCTGGGCAAACAAAATCACTGGTGAGCTAAATTCAGTTTGTGTGCTGCCCGTGGCCAGCTTTAGACAGTCAGCACCTGTGTATTCGAAACCTACTGTGAGGCAAAGGGAATCAGAGGCAGCTCTGCCCTCAAGTTACTTAAAGCCCGAGTGGGTAGGTGACACCGGCACATTAAGACTTAAGAAAAGGAGCAGGCAGACTATTAATATGAGAAAAATCACATCATCTTCAGAACCTGCTGTGTAAAGGTTTGGCTCTGGGAGGCAAAGTAAATTCTACCAGTTCTTATGTTGTCAGAGGAAAAGGGGACTTGTTACTGGTAGAGGAAGCCAGTTTATTAAGTCAATGTTATAGGAATTTAGAGCCCACAGGGACAAGAAAAGGTAGGGGTGTTCAGCCAAGAACAGAATGAGGGACCCAAGTGCTGCTTGGAGCAGATGGAGGGTTGATCAGCCCTGAAGAGGCAGGCGGGGAAGAGTTGGAAGCAGGCAGGGAGGAAGGGGTGGGGTGCATTGCCGTGCACTAATGAGAAACACCCACTGTTACATGTTTGCATAGAAAACATTCGTTTAATCTATTCCAAACGTTATGCCATGCATGATCAATGGGGCAAAATCAATCCCAAGGGATGAAATTTTATTTTAAAAGGCCATAAAAAACCTTCCTCCTTTTTATATATAAAGCACAGATATACATACTGCACATGAATAGGTATACAGTCTAATGTATAGTCTATCTATGGTATTAACATTTCATGGGGAAGGGCAATGAGGAAGAAATGTCTAAAAAGACACCTATGGGCCAATAATGAATAAAAGATACTATGTCTGATTTAGAGGCTAAGATACGGAAGCTCAGAGAGGTTAAGTAACATGCCCAAAGGCATGGCACACAGCGAATAAGTAGCGAACCTGGGAATTGATCTTTGGCGAGAAGTTGCAGAGCCTCCTGCAGTGCAATTTTGTGCATGTCACCATCAGAATGTGCTCCGTTTCCTCTTTGAGGTGTTGAGCCTTTAATGTTTACCATGGGCTGAATCAAAATATGGTGAAATGGGACACTGTCATGAAGACGCTGAGACTGGACTCTGTCCCTAGGAAAATCGTGTCATATTTTACATTCATTTATGCACCATCATAAAATGCTAGGAAGGAACCTCAGTCATCTAGATAAATTTTTTTGCTTAAAATTTTTTAAAAATTAAGACTATTTTTTAGGTTCACAGTAACATTGCGGGGAAGGTAACAGAAATTGCCCATGTATATCCCCAGCCCCCACATAAGTAGCTTCTGTTATGATCAAGATCCCCTCCAGCGTTGGTACATTTGTTGCAATCAATGGACCTACAGTGACACATCATTATCATCCAAAGCCCATAGTTTACATCAGTGCTCACCCTTGGTGTCATACATTCTATGGATTTGGACAAAGGTATAATAGACATGTATCCATCATTATGGTATCATACAGAATAGTCTCACTACCCTAAAGCCCCTTGGTACTCCACCTAGCATCCCTCCCTCCTAGACAAGTATTTTTCAAACAATTAACAAGTTGTGAAATTAATTTTTTAAAATGAAATGGAAAAGAATCAGAATATATCAGAATGCTGTTTATGTAGTCAAGCAAAGTGTTATTTTGGGAAACTTGTTTTTTAGTTATACATGTGAAGGTATGTCCTAGATCTCAGTGTAACAATTATTTTTAACTATACTTATAGTCAAATGAAAACCATCAATCAAGGCAGTTTGCATTGAATAGCATTGGTTTTGAATTTGTGTCCTATTTTTCACCCAAGTGCTAATCATTAGTCTGTTAGAACCTTGAGGTCAGGGTCTCAGTCTTACTGACCATTGTTTGCTCTGTAATATCTAGTGCGGTGGGATTAATGGTGATGTCTCCTGCCTCTTCATTCCAGTGAACCCTGCTTATGTGGATGAAAGTATCCCTGGCCCAGCTTATGGAAACTCACCGTCTGGAGGTGATTGGTACAAGTCATCCCAAGGTAAGACAGTGACCAAAAATTCAACCCTAGAGACATTGCCATTCAAGCAATGCAGACATTGCCATTTCTTCTTAGCCTCCAGTGTGGTACTAAGCAGTACAGTACTTCCTAAATTTATCATAATGGGGGTTTCTTTTAGACATGAAGAGTTTTTTCTCGTCTACATATCAAGGTGGCTTCATTAGGATTCTTCTGGTTGCAAGTGACAGAAACCCAAGTCACACTGGCCCAAAGTGAACTTATTGGCTTGTGCATGGGGAAGGATATGGGGGAAACAAAGAATTGAAGGTAGAATTACTTTCCGGCACCTGTACAGTGCCTGACACATTACTAGTGCTCAGAGATATTTGTTGAATGAGTTACAGCAACCAGGGTCTCTGCATGTGAAGCCAGGGGTTTATTGCCACCTGGACTCTCTTTTTCTCCATCGATTTCTCACCTGTGCTGGACTTCTCCACAGGCCAGGGGGCTTGACCAATAGCAGGACTAGATACACACCCTCAGCTCAACAGCCTCATCAGAAAGTCTTTCTTTCTCCCTGGGTCTGTTAAGTCAGTGCTGAGAAATGACTCTGTCCAGCACTTTTTGGGGCCGTATGCCCACACGTGGACTAATCATTTTTACCATGGGGAGGAAGATTGGGTCACATGTTCATTCTGTGGCTAATAGATCTAATGGTGAGGTGGCAGCGCATTGATCAACTTTTTTCTGAATCATCATATAAGTATTTATGATGGTGGAGTGTAGAAGCAGTTGGACTGGTGAAAGACAGAAGGCTTTGAAATCAGTCAGGAAGCTTTGCAATGACCACTGTGTGTCACAATAAAGGTCTGATCAGAGGCAGAGACTAAGAAAGAAAAAGGATACCCAATCAGTGTTGCTCAGTGGTTAAGTGTCAACCCATGAAACAGAAAGTCATGTTTTGATTCATAGTCAGGGCACATTCCCGGGTTACGGGATCAATACCCAACTGGGGTATGTGCAGGAGGCAACCGGTCAATGATTCTCTCTCATCATTAACGTTTCTATCTCCCTCTCCCTTCCTCTCTGAAATCAATAAAAAGAATTTTTTTAAAAGAAATAAATAAAAATGAAGAAGCAGAGGAGAGAGGCCATGGAATGCTGGAACCTAGAGGCAAATCTGTGAACAATAAACAAACCCATGGCGTCTTCTATCTAACAACAAAAATTGAGGATTTCCATGACTTAACACTATAGTATTTCTTGCCTTCAAACCCCCCATCTCATATGATAACTAGAGGCCCGATGCATGAAATTCGTGCAAGGGGCTCGGCCCTCACAGCTGCCTCAGCCCTCGCAGCCCTGGCTTCCTTCAGAAGGTCATCTGGAAGGTCATCCAGACAGTTGTTCCACTGTTCCGCCATCTGGTCTAATTAGCATATTATGCTTTTTATTATTATAGAAATGTAGCCTCATTCTTAAGAACCTTCTCAAGGGGGTGTGTATCTTCCACAAAGGTTAGCTATTGCTACTTGGGAGAGAAAACCATGGGGACATAAACAATCTCCGTTTGGTTCCCACTGGAGCAGAGAATGACTTTAACTTTGGGGAAAAGAAAAGTCTTTAAACTTCATCTAGCGAGCATGAGGTTTGGGGCTCTGGTAAAAGAGGAGCCCCCAGGAAGCAGAGAGAGGTAAAGAAATGAAGGACCCAAAAATGAACCTGGCTTTCTTCACTGTTTGCTTTGAGTTAGTTCTGATTCTCCAACCATGTACAGTTCATTGGAGGACAGCCTTCTGATCAGGGGCCACTTTGATGGATTTTGCTGTGCACCTAAGGGAGCACCTGGCACAGGGTGGGTGCACATAAATAGTCATTCTTTTATGAATGAAGGAGCAATATATCAACATCTTGTCGCATGAAGTGGCCAGGCTGAAGTGATTAAGAGGCCCTACTTTGGGGCCAGACAGAGCTGGGTTTGCTCTGCTACTTTCTGCTTTAGTGACCCCAGTTTTCTTGCTATAAATAGGAGTTATTAGGATACCTACTTCATAGGGTGATGATGAAAATTAAATAATATATTCTATTTAAGGTACTGGTCTTGCCATAATGGCAGATATTACTGTTCATTATCATTGGTCGGGAGGAGAAGAGTTCTAGTCCAATCCTGCTGTTTAATGAGTGTGACGGGGAGGAGGGTCGGTTCATTTCTCTGCACCTCAATTTCTCCAATTATTAAATAAGCAGCTGGGCTGAGGGGATTTCCAAATCGGGTCATTGGGATAGGAATTGTGTTCAGGAGCCTGGCACTGAAATTGGACGGTGGCTTAGCAACAAAGGGGTTTATTTTTCTCACGTAACAGGAAATGTGGAGGGAGGGAGTCAATGTTTGTACGGCAGCTCTGCCCATGCGTCCTCAAGGACTGAGGCGCCTTCCATAGCTTTTTCCTCCACCAACCTCAGCAGGTGAGTGTTTTTCCTCCTGTTTTCAAAATGGTGGCCTCTAGTCAGGAAGAAAACCAGGCCAACTGTCACCTTTTAAAGGGCATTCTGGCACAGAGCGGAATTCGGAATCTCAGAAGGAAGGCAGGGGAGGGTGGGTGGGTGAGCAGTGATCAACCAAGGAACTTGTATGCATATATGAATAACCCATGGACACAGACATGGGGTGGTGAAGGCCTGGGAGTTGGGGGCAGGCTAGAATGGGGAAAAAGGAGGACATATGTAATACTTTCAACAATAAAGATTTAATAATAAAAGATAAAGGGCATCCTGCCCTAGCTAGTTTGGCTCAGTGGATAGAGTGTCAGCCCACGGACTAAAGGTCCTGGGTTTGATTCTGGTCAAGGGCACATACCTCAGTTGCAGGTTTCCCGGGCCCTGGTTGGGGATAGTGCAGGAGGCAACCAAGTGATGGGTCTCTCTCACATCAATGTTTCTCTCTGTCTCTCTCTCTCCCTTCCACTCTCTCTAAAAACCAATAGAAAAATATCCTCAGGTGAGGATTAACAAACAAAATAAAATAAAATAAAATAAAAGGCATTCTGGAAGCTACATGTCTCATTGGCCAAAATGGGGTCTTGGGTCCACCCTTAGCCACAAAGGAAGCTGGGAGAATTTTAACTGGGCACAGTCCTTGCATAGGAAAGGAGGCTGCTGCTGGTAGGAGAAAAGTGGAGAACGGGTATTGGGAGGCAGACAAGTATCAGCGTTGGCCACGCAAGGTGATCAGGAAATAATAATTGTTTCACTATAAACCCACCTAGATTTATGTAGGCATATAAAATTATGATTATAAAATATGAGTTTTAGGCCAGAGGCACCAAATTGAAAAGAAAATCTGGCCCTTTGGTCATGAGGCCTTTAGAAGAACCTCTGACTTGTGGTTCTAGAACCCCATTGTCTTTAATGAAGGGTTCTGTTTCCGGTTTCTTCCCTAGCTACCGAGACAGAACTCTTCAGGAAAACGCACCTCCTCCTAGGAGACCCCTCCAGTGTAGATGTGGGGAGTTAGGCTGTGGTTTGTGTGAGGCTGACTTTGGCAATGTCATCCTGGCATTTTTAAAATGTGTGCATGGAGCATCCCTCTGTGATGTTAGCCCGCTTTTTGGTGGTTCTCACCAACGCCGGGCGTGACCGCTGCGTGAGGTCTGGGGAGGCCACCCCCGTGCAGAACTAGGCTTGGAGGAGGCGAGAGATGCTGTCTGATGACCAAGTGAATGAAATCATCATTAATGTTGAGAATGTTCCACCTGGGGTCCAAAACCACCGATCCTCAAATCTGAGTGTTCCAGCAAAGTCGGGGGTAAACTCGAGCTTTGGCATGGTCTCGTCCGTATCTGGCATCGATGTGAAAGACCCTCATGTTTACAGCCGCCGGAATGACAGGAAGGCCAAGCAGTTGCTACGGTTTTCACCTTTGAATGAATCGTTTTCTCAGACGCATCATAGCCCAGACCTTGTGGACATGGACACGCCTTGTACTTCCCATGAAAGCATTCAAGGTAGTAAGTTGCTGGGGCAAATGAGAAAAGACAGCTTGCAGGTGACCCCCAGGGATTTTTAGTTTTAAGACATCAAGTAGGTTGAAGATTTGGTAGATGACCCAAGGATGCCAGGGACTGAGAAAGGGGGTCACTTTGAGAGCATCTAACACCTAAAAAGGAGTTGAGTTTGATCAAGCTGATTTCGTGGGCCTCGCTCTCTGCTGAGCACTTCCTTTCTGTTATCCATCGAATTTAGTTGTAGTTTCTCCCCATGCTCCACACCTCTAAGGCAGGCATGCTTGTCATTTCCATCTGCTTGATGAGGAAACTGAGGCTCAGGGAAGTTACGTGATCTGGCAGATCTGGGACCCAAATGCAGGTCTGTCTGATTCCCAAGCCTGATACCTTAACCACCACCCTGTTCTGCTTTGGTCCAATTCCTTCCCACCCTGGATTCGGCAACATAGGATGCCTGTTATTGTCAAGTCCACCATGAAACCAGTTCTCAGCTGAGACCTCCCTGCCTCTCTGCTCTGGAGGTCATCGCTGTTTGGTCATTTAGATGCCGTTTCTGTTTCATTCCATAAGACTGGAGGCATAAAGTCCAGCCTCTCTCAATGACTTCTAAGAGAGAAAAAAAATCCACTTACACCAAAGCATTGTGTGGGCTTAGCCCCTTAAATGAAGACTGGGGCATCTTCTGTCAGGCTGCTGTCTCCTTGAATCTGTTTTTTTTCTCCCTCCTTCTCCTTTCATTCTCTCTGAGAAAGAAACACAAATTCCTCGTCTTCGACCAAGTGATTTGGTGGCCCTCTCCTAGGGACTCTCGATTACAGAATCCTATGTAATAAAAGTATAATATGCAAATTGTCCCCTCAACTGGGAGTTCGACCAGAGGGCAGGACGAGCTGGCCAACCTCCAAAATCTCCTTCCCTGGCTGGCCTGGCCTAATTGGCCCCGATCGGGGCTGGCCAGCCGGACCCCACTGTGCACGAGTCTGTGGACTGGGCCTCTACTGTCATTATAAAATGAGAGGTTTTGACCCAATAGCTTGACCAGGGAGCCATCCCACTCCCTCATTTGGTGCCCCAGCTGGCTCCCTCTCCGTTCCGAGATGATGACAGCACTTCCAGGTGTCATATGTGGACACAACTTCCAGAAGCAGGATGTCTTTGCCTTGTGTTTTGAGCGTTGCTTTTTTGAGAAGGAAAACCTTTGCCAAGAAGCTCCTCTGCAGACCACCCCTCACAGAACATTGGCCAACATCTTATCACATGCCTGTGCCTAAATCGCTCACCTGCAAGGGGACAGGACCTTCAGGATGGGCTTGGACTCATCGGGACCCATCCCGGGTGCCTGGAGATGGGTCCCACCCTGAAGAAGCTCGGGGCCATGTGAGGGAGAGGGTATATTTCTAAACAAAATTGGGATTCTATTAAAAAAGGAGAGATGACTCTGGGGAAGGCCGCCAACAGTATCTGCCACACTGACCCAAAATGTGATCACGAGTTATTGGGAGAAAAGGTGGGGAAGTCATTCCATGTGGAAGAGCATCTGACAACAAGCAGGCACTGCAAGAAGGTGGAGTCCAGGGGGCCTGGAGTCAGGGGGACAAGAGAAGAGATGTGGAATATTAAAGTGAGGGACATTAAGGTGCAAGATGTTATTGCCATGGAAAAGGAAAGCATTGAACTGGAATTGCATGCACTCTACCGTTTTCTTTGGCTTTGAGGTTCAACACAGATGCTTGCTGTCCGCTTGTTTTTATCTGTGACGTTTGGGATCATTGAGTCCATACATTCTTCGTTCTGTGTGCTCTTATAAAAACACTAGAGTCCTGCTGCATGAAATTCACGCATGGGGGGGAGGTGTGTGAGGGGGGTAGTCCCTCAGCCCGGCCTGTACCCTTTTACAGTCCATGAGTCCTCGGGGAATGTCCAACTGATGGCTTAAGCAGTCAGGCATCCTTAGCACTGCCACGGAGGCAGGAGAGGCTCCCACCACCACTGCTGCCCAGCTTCTGGCTGAGCGGCGCTCCCCCTGTGGGAGTACACTGACCACCAGGGGCAGCTCCTGCATTGAGTGTCTGCCCCCTGGTGGTCAGTGCGTGTCATAGCGACCAGTCATTCCGCGGTTTGGTCAATTTGCATATTAGCCTTTTATTATATAGGATGCTCTAACTTCAGCACCATATTTTAAAATGTAATTACTCTGTTTAAGGAAAAAGAATAAACTCCGTCTATTTTCTTCCACAGGACAAAAGTTAATCGCATCTCTGATACCCATGGCATCTAGAGATAGAATTAAAGCCATCCGGAATCAGCCAAGGACCATGGAAGAGAAAAGGAAGCTTCGGTATGGATCAAACGCTTTTCTTCTTTCCCAGATTTTTATGCCAATCTCGAGCTTCTACTTTTGCCCCATCTCAGAAAGATAAGAAATAAACAAATGCAACAGAAGAGGCCATCTTCCTACAGAAAATTCCACATAATCTCTTGTTGCCCAGAGTGGAGGCTGTGTGTGCTACTGGCCAGCGTCCAAAGAGTAGTGTGTGGAAATAGGGAAAGTAGCTTTCTAGAAATGACATCCATCTAACACTACCTCGGCCAAGTGATCAAGGTTGACATCTTCAGAGATGAGTCATGTGATCAGAAGGACATATCCCTCTGTGGCACTCTCTCTTGAAACCTGTAACCCTAATCTAACCAGAGAAAAAAGTCAGGAAGACCACAATTTGGGCGGGAATATATTTCTACAAAATACCCAACCAGTACTACTCAAAATTATAAGGTCATCATAAATGAGGAAAGTCTGCAAAACTGTTATAGACTCCAGGATTCTAAAGAGACATGACAACTAACTGCAATGTGGATGGGATCCTTGAATAGAAAAGTCTAGCCACCTCGGTCTCCTTGGGGCTTCGAGTGTCCCTATGCATGGGATAGTCCTTTATCCATATGATGAACCCCTTCCCTCTTACAAGACTTTATTCAAAAGTCACGCTATTTCAAATTGTAACACAGTCCCCACCCTAGCATTACCCATCTCCTTACCCTGCTGTTTTCCTTTTTCTTCCCCATAATACATATTACCTTGTAACATGCCATGCAGTTTACCCACTTTATTATTATACTAGAGGCCCAGTGCACGAAATTCATGCACAAGAGGGGGGTTCCCTCAGCCTGGCCTGCACCCTCTCCAATCCAGGACCCCTCAGGGGATGTCTGACTGCCTTTCACAACCTGGGACCACTGTCTCCTAACCGCTAGCCTGCCTGCCTGCCTGCCTAATCACCCCTAACCCCTCTGCCTGCCTGCCTGATCGCCCCTAACCACCTCTGCTTGCCTGCCTGATCAGCCCTAACTGCTCCCCTGCTTGCCTTATTGCCCCTAACTGCCTCTGCCTCACCCTGCTCACGGGACCCAGGATTCCTCCCTCTGGCTGGCCGCAGGTACCCAGGACCCGGGCCGGCTTCATCCAGGCCAGCTATAGCCGCAGGGGACCATGGGCGGGCGGCTTCACCTGGGCCGCAGCCGCAGGCACTGGCGCCTGGGACTATGGGGCGGCAGCTTGTCCCTCTCCCGGGCCACAGGTGCAGGCACAGCCTCTGGCACCCGGGACCATGGAGCAGGCGGCTTGTCCCTCTCCCGGGCCACAGCCTGGCTGGCCCCCATTCCTCTCTCGCGAGCTCATTTGTGCCTGGCTGGTCCCCATTCCTCTCTCCCCAGTGTTGAGTGTCTGAACTGTTATGGCGTGAAGGCGTGAGGAGTGATGACCAGTTGCATATTAGCTCTTTGTTATATAGGATTTATCACTTATTCTCTTTCTCTTCCAACTAGGATGTCAGCCCCATGAGGCAAGAAAATCTCTCTCTCTCTCTCTCTCTCTCTCTCTCTCTCTCTCTCTCTCTCTCTCTCTCTCTCTTTACTTGTTTGGGGATTTAATGTCATAGTAATAGATTTTATTTTTTTAATTGGTCTCTTTATCTCCACCTGGGATGTAGTAGGTGCTTGATAAACATTTGGGGAATGAATGTATTACAGCGCTTGCATCTCTCGCTTGCTTCTGCCGTTCCCCCAGGAGAATGGTTGACAGAGAGAAAAGTAAGCAGTCCCGACGTATCTTTGAGCTCAACTGCTGCACTCAGTGTTTGAATTCCATTTCCCTGGTAAGTCCGCCTGTACTGCAGTCAGAGAAATGAGCACAAGAGGGTGAAAATGGGGAGGTGGGAGAGTGGGGAAAACGGAGACCCACAGGGAAGAAGAACCAATTTCAGGGCTGTTTTACTGAGGCCATAAAAAATGGGTCAATGTAGGTGTGGGGAAACCAGGTGAGTGTGCAAAGGTCTGGGTTATTTGGGCAATGTAGCCACTGTGAGTGTCACCTTCAACAGCAAATCTGGGAAAATAATAATACACTCCCTTTAGGGGATGGGTCTGCAGATTAAATGAGATGACATTTGCAAATGCCTAACGAGGTGCCTGGCACATTGTAACGCTCTAGAAACGGTGGCCGTTTTTGCTATTGTGGGACCTGCTCAATAGATACTTGTTGAGGGACTGTCAAGCCTCATCTTAACCCCAGGCATACCGGAGATGCAAGAACATCCTGTCGGAGCTGCTCAATTCCATCAGCCTGTGGCAGAAGACGCTCAAGATCATCGGAGGCAAGTTTGGAACCAGCGTCCTGTCCTACTTCAACTTTCTGAGGTGGCTTCTGAAGTTCAACATTTTCTCATTCATTGTGACCTTCAGCTTCATCACCATCCCTCAGTTTACCGTGGGCGGAAACAACGCTCTCCAGTTCACAGGCCTGGAATTTTTCACGGGAGCGGTAAGTTCTCCGTTTCCCCCACTGAGAGTTCACCACCTTGGGAAACCCGGAGACACACCTTGCTGGTCACTGTGCCAGACCTCTCACTTTTTCCTGGGAGCCACTGATGGGGAAAGTGGGTGTTTAAATAATGTTTTTCTTTTTCCCCAAAAAAGAAACATGCACAACATAGGAGACCTCCTGTCTCCAGAAGCAACAGCGTATGTTGTGCATATGCCTCCTTTTCTCTTCTTTCACAAAAGATCAGTTATTCATATGTGCTGCCTATGATCTGCTTTCTGCACCTAATATGTGCTGGGTTTCTCATGTCGGTGTTCATAGATTTTCTTTTTTCTCTTTCTTTCTATAAACTGTAATGCTCCTTTTGGAAAATTCCTGCTACAGAGGAGAAAAAACTAAGAGAAGTCCATTTTACCCTTCTTCCCTTGTTTAACTCCCCACTTCAGAGGGTATCTTTGACCACTGTTTTTCTCACTATACCAACATAGAGATATACATGCATAGGTAGGTAGATAGGTAGGTAGGTAGGTAGGTAGGGTGACAGATAGATATTCTTTTTAAAAATAAAAATAGGATAGGATGCTATGAGTCTTGTTTTGCAACATGTTTGGCTTTACTAGGTATCTTGGGTATGTAGATAGGCCCATGTTCTTCTATGCAATAGCAACCACGATTCATTTACCCAGCGCTTTATCAAGGCACAGCGCCCCTCCCTTGTGAGCTCGCCTTCTAGGAGAGATTTCTGCCTTTGAGAGTCTATAGACCAGGGATGGACAAACTACAGCCCGAGAGCCAGATCTGACCGCCATCTGTGTTTGAACAGCCTACAAACTAAGATTGGCTCCTCCATTTTTCAATGCTTGAACAAAAATCCAAAGAAGAATAGCATTTTTGAGAAGCATGAAAACAATATGAAATACATATTTCTGTGTCCATAAACAAAGTTCTTTCAGAACATGGCCACACTCCTTTGTTTATACATCTGCACTGCTTTTCGGCTGTCCGCAGAGATATTGCCGTGCTGTCATAGTGGTGCGACATTTACTGTCTATCAGCTAGACTCTAGTCTAGACAGTAGAGAGCTAGACTCTAGCTCAGGGGTGGGCAAACTTTTTGACTCGAGGGCCACAATGGGTTCTTAAACTGGACCGGAGGGCCGGAACAAAAGCATGGATGGAGTGTTTGTGTGAACTAATATAAATTCAAAGTAAACATCATTACATAAAATGGTACAGTCTTTTTTTTTTTTTAATTTTATTCATTTCAAACAGGCCGGATCCGGCCCGCGGGCCGTAGTTTGCCCACGGCTGCTCTAGCTCTTTACAGAAGACGTTTGCTGACTCTTGCTGTGGAATGTTCAAAATAAGGTCCTTCCATTTGTCTTTTTATTTTAAAGACAAATTTGATTTAAAAATTTTTCTCGGGATAGATGCATTTAAATGGAATTATTGTGTACTTTTTTTGTCATTACTATGTGTATTTTGTGTTTTTGTATATATGAAACCTTTTATTATGAAAAATTTCAAACATACAAAAAACAAAGAGTAGTATAATAAACATCCACATACACACTATGTCAATTTAAATTTGTTAACATTTTGCCATATTTGTCTTACTATTTTAGGAGGCATTTCGCAGTAGATTATAGACATCAGGACATTTCACTCTGAACTTCAAGGTGCAGCCTGCCTTTAGTCATGCTCACTGGGTCCTGGTGGAATAGCTGGGTCCCTCTATTGTAAAGCTATGCGGGTCTGGGAGTCCTTTCCAACTAAAAGCTTAGTGATAAAATGTCTAGCTTCTCAGTGGCCTTGGAGGTTCCTTTTCCTTGCAAACAAAACATCGAAATGGACTGGTCCATGCTTTTAGAAGACAAAAGAGGTCAATAGTCAGTCACTCATGGTTTTCTCAAGAGACCCACCTGACCTAGGGCTTATTGTCCCTTCCAGGGTTATTTTACTGACACAGTGATGTACTATGGCTTTTACACCAATTCTACGATCCGGCATCAGAGCGGTGGGGCATCTTATGACATGCAGCTGGCCTACATCTTCACAGTCGCAGCCTGTCTGGTCATCTGCTTCTTCAGTTTACTATTCAGGTATGAAGTATCTGCATTCCCTGATTCTAAGTTCTTTTTAGATTTAGGCAAAATTCAAGAGACTCAAAAGTGACCCAGAAAAAAGTTTCTCTGTAATCTGTCTGATCATTCCTTGTTCTGCAGCATAAAATATAAGTTCAGAGAGAAGGGAGAGGTTTAGAGGTTTCCATGTGAAGCATCGATCAGACTGTCAAACCTCAGAGGGAAGGTAGGGGAGGGTGGGGGTAAGAGGAATAGATCAACCAAAGGACTTGTATGCATGCATGGACACAGACAACAGGGGGGTGAGGGCATGAGTGGGGGAGGGGGGAGTGGTAGGGTAATGGGGTGATAAGGACACATATGTAATACCTTAATCAATAAAGAAATTTTTAAAAAAAGACAAAGAAAAATAAATAAATAAAAGAAATTGGTCAGTCTGGACATAAGGCTGCAATAGCTCAAGTAGTTATATGGACAGAAGGATATGGATGGACAGTTGGCAAATGGGAAGTATCAAAGAGGAAGTACAGATGTTCACCCCTGTATTGGTTTGCTGGTTTGGGTGGCTTAAGCAACAGGAATCTATTTTTTCAAGTTCTGGAGGCTGGAAGGCCAGGATCTAGGTGTTGGCAGGGTTGGTATTTTCTGAGGCCTCAATCCTTGGCCTGTAGACTGTTTTCTCTCTCTGTCCTCACATGGTCTTCCCTCTGGCCATGTCTGAGCCCTAATTTTCTCTTCTTATAAGGATTCAGGCCCAGCCTTAATGACCTCATTTTAACATAATTACATACGTAAAGGTCCCACCTTCAAATATCGTCCATATCTGAGGTACTGGGTGTTAGAACCCCAACATATGAAATTTGGGGGCATACAATTCAGCCCATAACAACCTCATTGCCAGCAAATTAATTCAAAATAAAATGAGACTCTTTTTTTTTTTTGTCCTATCAAACTACAAAAATACTCAGTGGTGGCACATTCTGGAAAGGGGGTGCCCACGTCACGGAGCATTTATGTATCCTAAGCCTGATTTCACTGGGTCCTCTCAGCATCCCCACAATAGTAAGAGCTGCCTTTATTGAGTGCTTATTGCTCTCAGGACTCCATAGATTCTTGTGGTCGGCTGAACAATGCCCCTCACGTCCCAAAGATGTCCACCTTTGAATCCCCAGAACCTGTGAGCATGTTACCTTACCTGACAAGAGGGACTTGGCAGCCGTGATTAAGGATATTAAAATGGGAAGATCTCCCTGGATTATACATATGAGGACAATGTAATCACAGGGTCCTTAGAAGCGGGAGGCAGGAGGGTCAAGGTTAGAGAGAGAGTGTCAGATGTTACTCTATAAGCCAAGGAATCCAGGCAGCTTCTAGGACAGCGATTCTCAACCTGTGGGTTGTGACCCCTTTGGGGGTCAAACGACCCTTTCACAGGGGTCACCTAAGACGATCAGAAAACACATATATATTATTAAATATTGTTTTTTGATTAATCACTATGCTTTAATTATGTTCAATTTGTAACAATGAAATTGGGGGTCACCACAACATGAGGAACTGTATTAAAGGGCCGCGGCATTAGGAAGGTTGAGAACCACTGCTCTAGAAGCTGGAAAAGGCACGGATACGGATTCTCCACTCGCACCTCCAAAGGGAATACAGCCCTGCTGACACCTGGATTTTAGATCCATTTTCTGATTTCCAGTAAGAGAATAAATTTGTGTTGGTTAAAGCCACTAAGTTTGGGACAATATGTTACAGCAACAATAGGAAACTAACACACCTCTCATAATAATTCTGTGAGGTGAGTACTATTATTATCCCCATTCTACAGATATGGAAACTGAGGCTTAGCATAGTTAAAATGACTAAGATCCCCCAGCTGGCAGTGTAGGGTTGTAAGTCCGGCCTGTCAGATCCCAAAGCCAGAGCATCTAACCATTGTTTGTAATCACGCTGTTCCAGAAGAACTTGGAACTAACTCTTCCATATTATTGTTCTCTGTTAAAGATAGGACTTTCTTTTATTTTAATCCATGCAGTCCCCCTCCCCCCAGTGCTTGTCCTAATAACCCTTGGTATGCTGGTTTCTGCTTTCCCTAGCATGGCCAGGTATTTCCGGAACAACTTCATTAACCCCCACATTTACTCCAGAGGGATCGCTAAACTTATTTTTTGCTGGGACTTCACCATCACCCACGAAAAAGCTGTGAAGCTGAAACAGAAGAATCTTAGCACTGAGATAAGGGTAAGGCAAGCTTGCTTTTGACAACACCTTCCCCAGCCAGTCTCCTTCTCTCCTTCAGTATGTCTGTAACTTTTCTTAAAGTAATAAGGAATTATTTTTTTATTGCCAATAATGTTAAAAAAAAAAAGAAACACCCCCAAAAACCCAGAAAAAAATATTCACCATGCCCGGTGCTTGTGATGGTGTAGGGAGCTGGACGTTTTCACAGGACACGGTGGCTTTGGAATTGGTGCAAGCTTACTGGAGGGCAACTTACAAAATGTTAAGTGTAAATACTTCTTGACCTCATAGCGCCACGTTTAAAATGTTATCCAGTGGTTTTCAACCCAAGGAAGTTTTGCCCTTCAGGGAATATATGGCAATGTCTGGACGCTTTTCTGGTTGTTATGCAATTTGGGAGGGGTGGGGGCGCTATTGGCATCTAGTGTAGATGCAGGTAAACATCCTGATATGCACAGGACAGCTGCCACACACAGAACTACCTGGCCCCAAATGCTGAAAAACCCTTGTCTATTAAAAAAAAACTTATTAAAAAGATAGAGCAAGCAGAATGCATAAACCAAGGGGCTATGTCAAGAGGATTGCAGATGTTAACTTGTTATTCTTCAAGGGTTTCATGACCTCAGTGTACTTTCCTAGGAGCACAGTCCCAATCTGCTGGTCCTATCTGTTCCTCTACGATTAAAAACGGCATTTGATGCTGTAATGGAAGTTCTTGCCCATTTGAGATTTTTCCCATGGGGTCTCCCATAATCCCTGTTCACCATGAACTTTCCCTGTCTCTATCCTGTGGATCTGGGGAGGGGGGGGGGGGGATTTGTGTCTCTGGGAGTGAAGAGTATTCACCCTGCAGGCCAATGTGACTTCCTTGTGTTTATAGGAGAACCTGTCAGAAATCCTTCAGGAAAACATCAAATTAACGCTCAGTCAGCAGCTGACCCACTTGTCTGTCCACCTGGTGGCCTGGGTTGTCTCTACCGGAGTGGCCATTGCCTGCTGTGTAGCGGTTTATTACCTGGCTGAGAACAACTTAGAGGTAACCAGAGCGCCAGAAGCAGCAAGGTGCAGAGCACAGAGAACCAGGTGAAGGGTGGGATGCTGGAGGGGAGAGGGAAGTAGACCCTGCTGCTCACACTGGGTCCATTGGCATCAGTTGGAAACCAGTGTAAAAATGCAGGATCTTAGGTCCCTCCTGTAGCCCATGGGCTCAGAATCACATCTTAGCAACGTCCCCAGGTGATGTGTGTGCACGACTTAGCATGAGATGCTCTGGGCTAGTGGAGAGATGGGAACTTTGGCTGGTTTCTTCCTTTATTATTATATCCCTGCTGCTTCCTAAAACCCCTGGCACAGTGTAGACCAGGGGTCCTCAAACTTTTTAAACAGGGGGCCAGTTCACTGTCCCTCAGACCGTTGGAGGGCCGGACTATAGTTTAAAAAAAAAAACTATGAACAAATTCCTATGTACACTGCACATATCTTATTTTGAAGTAAAAAAACAAAACAGGAACAAATACAATATTTGTATTTGCATGTGGCCCGCAGGCCGTAGTTTGAGGACCCCTGGTGTAGACACTCACTAAGTATTGTGATCTGATGGACTCTGGCAAGTGACTTAATCCTTCTGAGCCCCAGACTCCTCACCTGTAAAGTACGAATGGTCATACCTGGCTTTGTAGGTGTGTGGTCAGGACTGGAGAAAAGTTATGTGGAGAGTCTGCCCAGTGCCTGGTACTGCGGGTGATGAAGGAATGTTAGTTTTGTTTTGTTTTTAAATGATATGAACTCTGAGATCAATTAGCTCTGTGGACTGGGTAAACTACTGTTTTTCTGTAGGTTTCAGCTTTTTCCTGATGTAGCCAGTTTGCTGAGCTCTAGAACTGTGGTGCAAGTTGGTCACTTTTTTAAATGACTTCCCTTTACCCTCAATATAAAATCTATCCTCTGTAGCATGGTTGCTAGATCTTTTATGATCTGACCCCTGCCCATATCTCTAGCCTCAATACTCCATAACCACCCATATCCCACACCAGCAACACTAAATGGTGTGTCCATAGTTCCCTGAATACACCATGTTTTCCCTCATCTCTAGGTGAGAAACCTGCAGTCCATTCTGCATGTCCCTTCACTTCCCTTCATCTTATAAACTCCTTTTCCTCCTCTGGACCTCAGCATAGGTGTCACTTCCTCTTCTTGCACCACCACCGCCCTCACTAGGCTGAGTTGGGTGCTTCATAATCTGCAGGCTTGCCCTGTACACTTGTCACACGCAGCATTAAAAACACCTGTTTATGCATCTGTTTCAAAAAAGACTGTAGCCAGAAACCTGGCCTAATACCTAGTACATAGTAGATGCTCCACAAATGGATGAATAACTGAAGGAGAGGCCAACAAGAACAAGAATGTGGGATTACGCAACCCAGGTTTGCCACTCACTATATTAAGGTGTGCTCTGAAAGAGGGGAAGTTGAGTCACAGGGCCCAGGGGCCTGGTATTGCCTGGGGTGGAAGCTGTGACGGGGCAGCTGTAGGTATGAAGAAGACTTCTGAGCCCTGGCTGATGTTGCTAAGTGGTTAGAGTGTTGGCCCGCGCACTAAAGGGTCCCAGGTTCTATTCCTGGTCAAAGGCACATACCTGGCTTGCAGGATGACTTTTTGAGGTCAGGCTCCTGAGTCAGATAGACCCAGGTTCAAATCTGTCCCTTCCTAGCAGGGTGACACTGGGCAAGCATCTCCACTTCTCTGCGTCTCAGTTTGCCTGTCAGTTAAGTCAGACTTAACTGGCGGGGCTGCCATCACGGGGGTAGTGAATGCTTGCCACAGGGAAGTGCTCACTAACCAGTAACTTAATAGCTGACCCCAGAGGAACTACTGCCGGGCGTTTTCCGTGGTGAGGGATCTTCTGAGCGAGGCAGAGAGGGGTCAGTGCACAGTTGGCATCTGATTCTCTCCCTCCACCCCTGCAGTTCCTGAAGAGCCACCAGAACCCCGGGGCGGTGCTGTTACTGCCTTTCGTGGTGTCCTGCATCAACCTGGCGGTGCCTCGCTTCTACTCCATGTTCGGGCTGGTGGAGCACTTTGAGGTTCCGCGGCAGGAAGTTTATGTCCTCCTGATCCGGTAGGTGTGTCTGTCACTCCCAACACCAGCCCCCGTTTTCACGGAGGGAAGTAGAGTGGCAGCTAGAAAGAGTTATGCTCGAGTTTTCCAGGAAAAAAAATTCAAGAGTATAGTGTGTTTGTATGGTGTGGGTAAATAACCATAAAATCCAAAGAGCCCAGAGAAAATACAGGCTTTTAGTTACATCTGCCTTTTGCTCAAAATAATGACTTACCTTTCCCAGTTGCTACCAGCCTAAGGATTAACATCGGTCTCAGGTGTAAGATGGACAGATAGGCAGGCTGCACACAGCACACAGGTTCCTGGCTGAGGCATTGTCTGGGGACTGAAATCATCCAGTGTGTCCACGAGCCAGACTGTGAGCCCTGGTACCCACTGCGTCAGCCGGGAGGGAGAGGCACATTCTGATAATTCAACCGCCCAAATGAAGGTGGAGGGAGGGCTTTTGGCAATTTATTGGCTGGACATGGTGATGCCTTATTTTGATTCCCACAAAAGCACTGTATGTGCTAGAGATGACCCCAGGGTTTTGGCAAATAAGGCATAAAACTACCCAAATTGTGTTCTTATTGGTACTTCTTAGCTAGGTCCCTGACCAGTTCTATGCTATGATGGTGTTTATGACGATAGGGCTGCACAGTGCAGATTGAGTTTCTTTACTGATCAATTCCAGAGCCCTGGTCTTCTGGCCTCTGAGGTCAAGCTCCTGGCCAGCTCTCCAAGTCATTTACTACACTCCCCCTTTCCTCAGTGTGCCCCCATCCCCTTGGAAACCTAAGTATTTACAGTCATGCCAAACTATATACCCACATCTGGACCTTTGTCCTGGACATTACTTCTTCCTGGAATGCTCCTTCCGCAGATAGAAAATCTATACTTACATCCATGTTTAACTTCCTACAGAACTGACACATTTTTGTTACCCTCAATTTATAACAAGGATATTCACACACACACACACACACACACACACACACACACACACACACACACACTCGCTCGCGCGTTTTAGATCAGGAGTTGGCAAATACAGCCTGCAGGCCAGCCTCTGTTTTTATAAAGTTTTATTGGAACACAACGATGTCCACTTATTGACATATTGTCTGAAACTGCTTTCCTGCTACAATGGCAGAATTGAGTTGCTGCAACACAGACTGCATGGCCATAAAGCCAAAAATATGTACTATCTGGGTCTTCACAGAAAAAAAATCGTTGACATCTTTTTTAGGTCAGCATTTACACTTAATCTATATAAGTATTATTTTCCTGAAGAAAAGTCTTAGCAAGCCCTCACTTCTATCCACCTCACCCCACTGGATGCCTCCTCTTCCTGGTTAGAAATATTTAGGACTTTTTATTGTGGTATATAGCATAAAATTTTTCATTTCAGTAATTTTAGGTGAACAATTCAGTGGCATTAAGTAATCTGTTGGGGGTTTTTTTAGTGTATATGTTAATAATAAGTTTCACTGGTTTCTTTGCTCACTGGTATTTATTTAATGTTTTAGAAAGAGCAGCTGGGTGAGTATTTGACCACACTAGATATCAGAAAATCTCAGAGCAACACCTGTAGGCTCCGGAAGAGGTTAGTTAGAATACAGAATCTTTGGCCCATTCAAACCCACTTGCAAATAGCAAGGCAAAATAAAGATATGTTAGAACATGGAAGTACTTGACCATCCCAAGACCGACTCTAAAATAACTTCTCTTCTTACAATATAAAAAGAAGAGGTTGTAAGTAGACATATATACTCAGAATGCCACTTTGATCCAATGCCTTTGCTATTTTGTTGTGGACCAACGTTCGCAAGAGTAAGACCACCGACTCCAATTAGGTCTTAAGCAGCAAGCGAGGATTTCTTGAAACTGGCCAGTGACTGCCGTAGGCATTCTCTCCTACGACAGCGTCGAACCTGGTTCTAGGCCAGCGTTTTATACACAGAAACTACAAAACGGTTGGCTAAACACACACAAAGTTACCTGGGATACAGACACAAAGTTATCAGGGCTACATTAATCAATACTGCCCCGTTACCAAGGTATTATTAATCAACTTTGCCCCATTGCTCCAGCTACTAATATAAACTTGCCCCGTACCCTAGCTAATAATATCAACTTGTCCCGTTTCCCAGACTACCCTTAACCATAGTTGGTTCCATTTCCCCAGTACAAGAGGGGCTTAACTGTAACAATTTCATTTTCATTTTCTGATCACTAGAGAGGTGAATTGTCTCTTAATATACATTAGCCATTTGTATTGTTTCACAAAACATTGAACATCTCTTCTACATAAAGAGAAAATGGGAAAGCTCAGAAATACACAATCTTTCTATCTAAGATAAACTTTTCTTTGCTTAGAAGAGTGTGTTTTCATGTTTAATGTGGAGCTACACTGAAGTATTTATAAAGTTCTGACACCAATTCCAGTATATGAAAGTTTTCCCCCACACCACTAAGCGGTTCTCTGACACCAGCTGGGTGTCCAACAATTCAACTCAATTCTGAACTATCTACCTGGATATTACACAGGCTAAGGACACAGTCTTACAAGATGCCAATTGCAAATCTAGGTTGTAACCTGTGGTTCTGATTTATCAGCTATGGATTGGAGGTTCCCACCCCACCCCCTGCATCAGATTAGATTACTCTGCTAGAGCAGCTCACAGAACTCAGAGAAACATTTACTTCCTAGATCACTGGTTTATTAACTCATGAACAGCCAAGTGGAAGAAATGCACAGGGCAAGGAATGGGGGAAGGTTGGGAATGTCCATGCCCTCCCCCGGCACATCATTCTCCCAGCAACTCCACATGTTCACCAATTCAGAAGCTCCCCAAACCCCGTCCTTTGGATTTTATGGAACTTCACTACATAGGCATAATTGATTAGTTCATTGGTCATTAGCCATTGATTCAACTTCTAGCCCCTCTTCCCTCCCCAGAGGTCAGGGAGGTGAGACTGAAAGTTCCAACCTTCTAGACCAGTGATGGAGAACCTTTAGAGCTCGGCGTGTCAGCATTTTGAAAAACCCTAACTTAACTCTGGTGCCGTGTCACATATAGAAATTTTTTGATCTTTGCAACCATAGTAAAACAAAGATTTATATTTTTGATATTTATTTTATATATTTAAATGCCATTTAACAAAGAAAAATCAACCAAAAAAATGAGTTCGTGTGTCACCTCTGACACCCGTGTCATAGGTTCGCCATCACTGTTCTAGGTATTACCAAAAGCCCCTCCTTACCAAACAAAAGACACTTTTTATCGCTCTCCTCACGTAAAAAATTCCAAGGAAGGGTTTTTAGAAGCTCTGTGCCAGAAACGGGGCCAAAGATCAAATAAGTATTTCTTATAACTCACAATATCACAGTATACTAAGGCATTAATCTAGAAGATATTGCAGGTTATAGTAGGGCTTGGCAATGGGCAAAAGATTGGGGATCTGGCATTTAAAAAGACAGATCCAGTTCCCTTCCTTCACAATGGCTCTAGCACAATGGTTCTCAACCTTCATTGTGCAGCAGAATTACCTGCAGGGATTGCTAGGCCCTGCTCCCAGAGTTTCTGATTCCATACATCTGGGATAAACCCTAAACACTTGTCCTTCTAACAAGTTTACAGATGATGATGATGATGATGATGATGATGATGATGATGATGATGGTGGTGGTGGTGGTGGTGGTGATGGTCTGGGGACCACACTTGGAGAACTACTGGTCTAGTGACACATGATTCCTAGCCCACCAATCTTAAAACCAGCAGTTGTTGACTTAAATACCTGGGTTTAAGAACTGAGGCTGTGAAATCAGATGGTCCTCAGGTTGAATCTTTTTCATGCCCCTAGTAAGCTGTGTGACCTTGGGCAAGTTATTTTATCTCTCTGAGCTTCAGTTCCCTCATTGGTAAGATAGGCTAAAATGCTATCTACTTGATGATAGAGTTGTACAGATTAAGAGGGATGCTTTAATAAAGTGCTTAACACAGTGTACTGTCTATGGTAGCACCCAATGAAGATTACTATTATAATGAAAAGTGAAATCAGATTTTGAGATGCACCAAAAGAGGGTGTATCAATCAGAATAAATTAGGTTATGCCGTGATAACAAATATCTCCTGTGACCCAAATCTCAGTGGCTTAAAAAAAACAAAGGTTTATTTCTTGTTCATGCTACATGCCCCTTGAGGATTGGCAGGGTTTTTCGCTCATGTCAGTTATTCAGGGATCCAGGCTGAGAGAGCAACAATCATCAAATATTGCTAATGGCCATTCCAGAGGGAAGACAGTAAGTTCCTGGGGTGGGTAGTGGGGAGGGTCTCCCTGGCGTTTAAATGCTCCAGCCTAGAAGTGACATAAATTAACACACATCACTTTTGCTCACAACTCATTTGCCAGAACCAGCTATGTAGCCCCACTCAACCACAGTGGGCTAAGAATTTCTATCCTACTTTGTGCCCAAAAGGAAATATTGGCGAACAGCACTAATGACAGCCATAGACAGTAATGATAGTTGTTTTCTCTCCTGTTATTCAGAAACATCTTTTTGAAAATATCGATCATTGGAATTCTCTGTTACTATTGGCTCCACAATGTGGCCCTGGCTGGTGAAGAGGTGAGCCTTCCATGCTGTTCTGCCTTCACTTTGGTTTCTTAGTCTTTGACCACCAGAGAGGAAGTGAGTTCCTCAAATTCCTCAAGAGTTTCTGCTCATGATATTAGAGCAAAGATCTTCTTCTATCTGTCCATTCATTTATCCATTCATTCATCCATCCACCCACCCATCCAAAACTTCCCTCTCCTCATTCAGTCAAATCTAAAAGCTCTTACTCAGTCCATCAGCTCATTGTACGAACTTCCTGCAGAGGTAACTGACTGCCAGTTTCATAAACTGACTAATTCAACCTTCCAGTTTGTGCTAGCTGGCTACCTACACCTCTAGGCTACTTTCTTAATCCAGCAGATGTTAAGTGATTTTTCATAAGGTTAATGAGCAAAAGGAGTGGAGGCATCATTAGCCATTGATCCTTCCTGCTCTCCTGAAGAAGCTGATTATCCCTGGCAGAGAAATGGGATCCAGAAGGCATAGGGGACAGGAATGACAAGTGTTTAAAGGAAAGAGAGTAAGAAGGGAAAGTTTGGATGCATGTGGAAGGCAAGCCTTAATGAAGGAAGAAGCATCACAGACAAGGAATAAATACCCTGAAAACAAACTCAGTCTAATAATGCATTTCTACCAAGAGTGGGTCTGCTTTTCTGGGAACTCAGAACTCCATCAGACTGGGGCGGAGCCACCAGCCATGCCCTCATGAGTACAGGGTGCCAGGAACAGATAGAAACTGAACGGAGGCAACAGCCCCTTCCCACAGCCTGACTCTTGTTTGCCTTCCAGTGTTGGGAAACGCTGATTGGCCAGGAAATCTACCGGCTCCTTCTGATGGATTTTGTGTTCTCTCTAGCTGATTCCTTCCTGGGGGAATTCCTGAGGAGGTAAGTATTTGTCTGCCTTGGGTGATTAGTACATAGGGTTGTAACTGGAGCCATTGCCTCGTCTGAGCAGGAAGTGTGGGCCCTTCACGTTCTCTAAGACTGCATTGTTCTAAATCTGCCGGTTGTCCTTTGGGATATTGTTTTCTTCTGGATTAACTGAACTTTCACCTTGGCCTGAGAGTCCTGTTGTCAAAGTCCTTTTGGTTCAGTTGGCCCTTTCCAACTTTCTCTTTTAAAAAAAAAATGTTCTAGAATAAAACACAAAAATGGAGAGCCATTTGAGATCTTATTCCCCACAGATCATTTTAATATTCTAGTGTATATTCTTCCAGATTATTCTATGCATGTACTGCTTTATATGTGTATTAGAGGCCCAGTGCATGAAATTCGTGCACGGGTAGGGCCCCTAGCGGCTGCCGACTGCTAGCTGGGGCCTTCCTTCGTTACCCCCTGATGGTAAGTGCACATCATAGCGAGTGATCAACTCTCAGTTGGTCGAACTCCCAAGGGGACACTTTGAATATTAGGCTTTTATATAGAGAGATGTACAAAAATGGGGTCACACTGAAAAATCAGTGTGGAGGTTGCTTTTGTTAATCTGATCACAATGCTTTGGCACCTTTCCATGCCAGTACATATAGATTTATCTCATGATTCATTTAATTGGATTTAGTTAAGGTACTAATTTTTATTTTAGAACCAAGATGTGTAGAATCAAGGCAGTGTCATTAGCCCACATGTAGTCCTTTTATTTATTTATTTATTTATTTTTAAACAATATCATGACTATCTCATTCCTTAGAGACATTTCCATATTTCTACAAGCTGCCTCAGTAATAAGGTGGCATGATATAATGCCAATTCTCTCCTCAGTGGGTAGGTTGAATAACAAAATTTCACATTCAGTCTTCCCAAACTAACTTTTATTACAGCCTCTGTCTGGGGTATGGACATAAAGGTGAGAAGTTTGGGGGGTTTATTTTGACAGCAATTCTTACTGGCAACTCTTCTATATGAAGAAATAAAAGTGGTCTCGAGTTTCCTCAGCATAAATGCAAACCTTAGTTCCTTCCTTATGGATTTGGGAGCAGGGAAAGACCATTAATTCAACAACATTAATCAAAAATGGAAAAAATTTCAATTTATTTGGGTTGGGAGGGACTGAGTTTATTTGGTCATAAAAAAAGGCTTAACAAGCGAACAGTTGTATAAACAAGATAATAGGTGGGATAATTTAAATAATAAGGTAACAAATGTTCTCTATAATTTTTTAAACTACATTAGCTGTACCTCCCTCCTCCACACCCATTTGAATGTCTTGTGTCAATTCCATCTTCCCTCAGTTCCTTCCATTATTTCTTCAAAAACATGCTTGTACTTGGAACTTTTCAAAAATTTGTAAGGGGACTTAGGAATGTATTCCAAACTGGTGAGGGTCTCCTTTGTTGATTGTGGGGAATCTTTTGAAGGAGGGAGTTGATGGATTTGGGTGCTAAACTCGATATGTTCTCGCAGAATCATTGGGATGCAGTTTATCACAAGCCTTGGCTTACAGGAGTTTGACATTGCCAGGAACGTCCTAGAACTGATCTACGCACAAACGCTGGTGTGGTGAGTATTGAGAATCTTCCATGTGCCCAGTGGTTCCTGCCTGCTGTGGACTCAGAGCTTGGTGGCGAGTCACAGAATCTGTTGATTCTAAAGCTGCACGGGGGATACCAAGTCTAGCCAGTGTGAGAACCATGAACATATATCCTTTTCCCTTTATGAGGACTTCAGGCAAGAATTAAAATAGAACAGGAATTAAAATAGAACCTGGAGGCCTCAGGCCGTATCTAGCCTGCAGGTGTGTTTTGCTTATCTCACACTGTGCTTTTTCTAAAAATTGGAAACAGCCATCAATATTCAAAAATCAGGAGGTTTCATATAAAATTTAAAATTTTTGACTTCTTCCAAAAAAGAAAAGATGTATCCGTCTCCCATTATGGCAGTGGTTTTCAACCTTCTGGCCCTTTAAATACAGTTCCTCATGTTGTGACCCAACCATAAAATTATTTTCGTTGCTACTTCATAACTGTAATATTGCTACTGTTATGAATCGTAATGTAAATATCTGATATGCAGGATGGTCTTAGGCGACCCCTGTGAAAGGGTCGTTCGACCGCCAAAGGGGTCGCGACCCACAGGTTGAGAACCGCTGCATTATGGTACCAATTGGCTGGGTCTTGGAGCTGGGCTGAGCCCCTCCAATTTGCCATAGTTCCCCCCTCGCTATTATCTTCCCAACATAGATTTGCCATTTCTTGTTGCCCTTCCGGTATTCGTTTTCTTATGGTAGAAAATTTTACTTTGCATTGATGGATGTTTTAATAGAAGTGGGAAAATAAAGGCAGGAGGGCTGTTTATTTCTTATACCTGGTCTGCTACACTCACTGATGTAGTAACACCGGATGGGGCCTCTGTAGCCTTGAGGGTTTGTGGCCTGTCTTAGCAGCTATGTATGTGCATGTGTGCCGGTGGGTGCACATGTGTCTTTTGAGACTAGCCAGCTAATTGCATCAAATATTTAACAAGCGCCCTAACCGGTTTGGCTCAGTGGATAGAGCGTTGGCCTGTGAACTGAAGGGTCCCAGGTTCGATTCCAGTCAGGGGCAAGTACCTTGGTTGCGGGCACATCCCCAATAGGGGGTGTGCAGGAGGCAGCTGATTGATGTTTCTGGCTCTCTATCCCTCTCCCTTCCTCTCTGTAAAAAATCAATAAAATATTTAAAAAATATATTTAACAAGCTCACCTAGAAACTCAAACCAATAGCCAGTGACTACTTTTATTTATCTTAACATGATGTTATTAAGGCCAGAATTCTGTATGGTGTATCCCAGATTCCATCCGTTGGGGCATTGCTAATTTGAAAGTAGGGGATTTGGAATTAGAAGCAGGTTCCCCCTGTATTAGTTTATTAGGCTGCCATAACAAAGAAACTTGGATTCTGGGGCTGGCTCTGCTCCTCACTGAGGTCACTGAGCTTCTCTGAGCCTGTCTCCTCATCTGTAAAATGCACATAATAGCTCTAGCCAGTTTTGCCCAGTGGATAGAGCGTCAGCCCTATCTGAAGGGTCCCAGATTTGATTCTGGTCAAGGGCATGTACCTCAGTTACAGGCTCAATTCCCAGTCCTGGTCGGGGCACATGCAGAGGGCAACCAATCTATGTGTCTCCCTCACATCGATGTTTCTCTCTCCGTGTCTCGACCTCCCTTCCATTCTCTCTAAAAAAAAGAGTCAATGGAAAAATATTCTCGGGTCTGGGTTAACTAGAGTAAAAATAAAATTCACATAATCATAGCTGCCTTTGAATTGTGTTCAGGATTGAGTCAGATGATATATGGAAACTACATTGCAATCTTCAATATGCCATCTAGCTGTAAAGTGATTTATTTTCCGACTCTTTAAAGTTGCCCTGGGTGATTTAGCCATCTTCAAATAACTCACTAATGTCAATGAATTTCTTTTTAGAGGTAGTGAGGACTTTTTCTTTATGTGGTTTAGGTGATGTATTTGTACATTGCAGGTTATGCCCTGACAACTGGGCAACTTATGAAAGCCTTTCACCCACATTATATCAACCAACGGGATGCCTTTGGGCAAGTTAATTAAATGCCCTCTAAACAGTTTTCTAATCTGTCAATGGAAGTGATAATGTTCAGAATATTACCTGAGATTGGAGTTTGGTTCAGCAACCTTGGTACGGTATTTGAGTGCTGGCTAAGAAGGAATTCAGAGCCAAGACTCACATAGTTCGTCACAGAGAGAGATGTGAGCTGTGGGAGAAGTGAGCCAACAGGCCCTCTGTGGGCTCAGGAAACAATTTACAGAGGCAAAAGAAGGGCTCTTGGAACTTAAAAGAAAGAAAGCAGGGATATAAATGTGGAAAGGCTCCCACGTGTTCCAGAAAGAGCCTTGTTCCAGAGAGGGCTTGGCCCTCTGTCCTAGGGGCTTTTAAGGGAAGGTCCCAGGAGAGGATCTCAATAGAATATTCATCAGCTTTCCAGGGTTGTGGTCTCCACTGATTGGCCAGTGCCCGTGCAGGAAGTCATTCAATGCAGCTGGCCCTAGTGAGCAATGCCTGGCTTTGCTGCTTTTCTGGGCCTGGGGCTGAAACAACTGCTGCCTAGATGTTATCTCTAGGGCTTAATGCTTCAGGGATCGCTGGTGCAAGGGCTTGTATTCTCCAGCACCTAGCTCCTCCTCTAAGGGGGTCTGCCACATGACTAGCAATATGAAAGGTCAGGGGATCTAAACCTCATGACTAGTAATATGAAAGGGGAGGAAAAGTCACCCTGGAGGCAAGATTCCATCCTACAATTGTCCATTGCTAGGCACCCCAAGCTTTGCACCTGGTGACCTTCAGCACCCGTCCTACTCTACTCCTGTCTGTCTACCTATTTCACAGGTTTAAGTGGGGATTAAATGAGAAGCAGAGTGAGTACCTGACTCAGAAATGTTTTATAAGTGGGAGAAAGTTACAATCAGAGATGGCCATTATTACTTCTAGGCCAGTGATGGCGAATCTATGACACGTGTGTCAGAGGTGACACGCGAACTCATTTTTTTGGTTGTTTTTTCTTTGTTAAATGGCATTTAAATATATAAAATAAATATCAAAAATATAAGTCTTTGTTTTACTATGGTTGCAGATATCAAAAAATTTCTATATGTGACACGGCACCAGAGTTAAGTTAGGGTTTTTCAAAATGCTGACACGCCGAGCTCAAAAGGTTCGCCATCACTGTTGGGCCTTTAAGGTTTTTGCTAATAACTCATAAATAAGCACAATTGAAAATACACACCTCTTTTCTTTTCTCAGTGGCAATTATAGATTTAGCCTCCGTGGGTTTTAGGAGACTATTGCCTTTGATGATGAGCTCTAAAAGAGGATAATATAATGACAGAAATTGAGTGATGTTAGGGATAATGGTAGAGGTAAGGTGAGGAAAGTGTTTCCCAAACTTCAGTCTTTTGTACACCAGCCTGCCTATTATTGGCATATCCACATATCACCTGTACTCTTTTTTACTTAATATTATTTTTAAAGCTTAAATACATTTTTAAAAAATATTTTTATTGATTTCAGAGAGGAAGGGAGAGGGAGAGAGAGCTTGAGACATCAATGATGAGAGAGAATCACTGATCGACTGCTTCCTGCATGCCCTCTACGGGGGATTGAGACTGCAACCTAGACATGTGTCCTCACCAGGAATCAAACCATGACCTCCAAGTTCATAGGTCGACCCTCAACCACTGAGCAACACTGGCCGGGCAAGCTTAAATACATTTTTAAAGGAGTGTTCGTTTTATAATTAGAAAATGAAAAACCAGTGTCATTTGACAGACATTGCGAGTAACTTGGAAAATAAAATTAATCTCATCACAAGCAGTCATGACATTCTAGCTAAATGCTGCTGTCTGCTAAGGGCCAGTCAGAAACCGCCTCCTTTTTTCAACAAAATGGGAGGTTGGCATATGTTACGAGTTAAAGAGATTCTGGCACCAAACTGAGATCTTCTTTTGGACTCCGGAGCACGGAGGATTGTGGAAGAGGGAGTGCCTTCTCATTTGTAACTCGATGTAGTTTAATGTCAGTCCCTGCAGGCTCTCAGACCTTCTGGGTACCATGGAGGGAGGAGGGTGGCATGTTTCACATTTGGGGCGCCTCGGTTAGCGCTTGCTCAGGACATCTGGTGGTTTCGTGTCTGTGTGGGTGGGGTTCTCTGCAAAACCTCTTTTCCAGAGCTGGGAAGGGAGCAGCTGTGGATACTGGGTATGGTGGGAGGAACTTGCCGAGGGTGTAGGGATGGAAGCAGTCTCCCTCTGCATTAGTTTATTAGACTCTCATAACAAAGAAACCCAGACCAGGGGCCTTGAACAACACACATTGATTTCCTCATAGTTCTGGAGGCTAGAAGTCCAAGATCACGGTGTCCGGTGTCCACGGGGTTGGTTCTTCTGAGACCTCTCTCCTTGGCTTGTAGAAGACCATCTTTTCCCTGTGTCTTCACATGGTCTTCCCTCTATGTGTCTGTGTTCTAACCTCTTCTTTCAGAGGACTGGATTAGGGCCCACCCATTTTAAGGCCCTATCTCCAAATACAGTCACATTCTGAAATACTGGGGTTAGAACTTGAATATTTGAGTTTTTGAGGGACATGATACAGCCCATAACACCCCCTTTCCGTTCCCTCCACACCCCTCTATGCCCCCACCACATGTCTCCCCTGATCTCTGACACTCACCCTCTCTCCCTCACAGGATTGGAACCTTCTTCTGCCCTCTGCTGCCCTTTATCCAAATGATTACTCTTTTCATCATGTTTTACGTCAAAAATGTGAGTCAGTCTGAAGTCGGAACCAATCAGCGTGGCTCAGTCACATGTGATCCCGTGGTGGTTGGAATCAGGAGTGGGAGGGTGTGGAGGTGGGCTGAGAAGGTTTTCGGGAAGCCAGTGTCTGGCTGGGGTCCCCCTGGCCTGCTCACAGATGGTAGGCGGCCACTCCTCTCTCTTCAGATCAGCCTGATGATGAATTTCCAGCCTCCGAGCAAAGCCTGGCGGGCCTCACAGATGATGACTTTCTTCATCTTCTTGCTCTTTTTCCCGTCCTTCACTGGGGTCCTGTGCACCCTGGCCATCACCATCTGGAGGTAGGAGATGGCGGCCTTAGGATGAGGTTTGAGAGCTGGGGTTGGGTGGGTGTTTTAAAATGTAGGTTTTATTATTATTCAGATTTGGTGAGGCCGACAGATCAGGAACTGACTGCCACTGAAAAGATAATTTGTTATACTCACAGATCCCCAAGAGGGGGCACACCCCACCACAAAGGACGGAGGGGGCACATGGGCAGGCACCAGCGTAGCTCAGGAGGCAGAAGGGGCAATGGGGAAAGGTGGGCAAGAGCCTTTATTGTGGCTTCCATGGGAAGGAATGGTGAGGCAGGGTAAGGACTGGCTAGTTTGAATAATTTCAGCGGGCTCTGGGGTATTGGGGTTGTCTGGAGTTGCCAGATATCTGCCCTTGAGGTGATTGGGGCAGGAGAATAATGACCCAAGGTGTGAGAGCTTGATAGAGGGTGGAATGCTGGCTCTGGATTGGTTGGTTTGCACATGAGAGACTGAGTTTGTAGGATAGCCCAGGGAATGGCAGTCTCTCCAGGATCAGTAGAGCCCCAGATGTCAAACCATCAGAGTAAAGAGACATGCTCAAGGCAGTGTTGAACCCCAGATTCCCTGGCTAACCAACAGACACTACATCCAAGGGAGGGAATAAGTCTGAGTTAGGGGCCCACCCTCATGACTGGCTCAGCTTCCTCACTTTCTGAAAAATGGAGAAAGGCTAGTTCCTCCACCTGGAGAACAGAACTGCATCTAAATAAACTGAAAGGCACTGTCTGATCAGGCTCTCTCCTACTTCTCCAACCTCACCCCCATCGGCTCCTTCCTCCTTTGGCCCCACAGCTCTTGCTCCATTCCTGAGACTCTGAGAGCTCCTCCCCACGTGGAGTAGCGTTCTCTATTTGAAGAGCTCTCCCCACCCCCTTTGCTTAGAGACCTTCTTTCCATCCTCTGCTTCTTGGCTCCAAAGTCATCTCCAAACTCTGACCTTCAGGACCATCCTTGTCTATTGTCAGTTCCACCCCTGCTTTCTCCCAGGCCAATTTCTTTTCTTCATTCCATAGTTCACAGTCAGAAATGCGTTTGTTTGAATCTTCGTTAATTGTTTGCTCATTGGTTGTCCATCTTTCCCACTAGAACAGAGATCTGCGAGGGCAGGTACCATGTCTGTTTTGTTTACTATGGATTCTCCAGGGCTAAGTATCTCTAGCACAGTGCCTGGTACAAGTGCAGTAAAACTAGAATGAATGAATGAATGAATGGAGGGAGAGAGGGTTGGTTTTTAGGATACATGTGGAACTGGAACCATTGGCAATTCAAGTGGCTTCAGAGCAGGCTACTCTGCTTCACAATGTCCTTGTTACTCTTTTTGGTGTTTCTTCCTGACCAGTCCCTTGTTGCCCTCTAGTTTCTGCTTGTTCATAACAACTGAGTGCCCGTGGCCATCATTGCCACACCTTCAGGTTCCATAGATTACAGGGTCCCCTCTTCATATTTCTGAGTTCAAGTCCCCAAGAAAGAGAATCTGGCTGCCCCAGTTCATTTCTTTGAGCCGGGGTACCACAGAGGCTGCCATGAATTGACTACTGTTGGCTCAGATCCGTGGTCGGCAAACTGCGGCTCGCAAGCCACATGCGGCTCTTTGGCCCCTTGAGTGTGGCTCTTCCTAAGCCTTAGGAGTACCCTAATTAAGTTAATAACAATGTACCTACCTATATAGTTTAAGTTTAAAAAATTTGGCTCTCAAAAGAAATTTCAATTGTTGTACTGTTGATACTTGGCTCTGTTGACTAATGAGTTTGCTGACCACTGGAGATGATTCTCCTGTCTGAGCGCTGGTCCTCAGGATGTGGGTCATGAGTATGAAATACACCAGCTGGGGCTGGGAGAAGGTTTCCTCTGGAAGGGAAGTGTGGGTGGAACCGGCAAGAACTGCTGATTCCAGAGCCTAGAAAGTGCAGCCTGAGTGTAGTTCAAACTAGACCAGAGTCTCGCACTAGAGGCGTTTTTCTGTCCCTTGTTTTACCAGATTGAAACCGTCCGCTGATTGTGGCCCGTTTAGAGGACTGCCCTTCTTCATTCACTCCATTTACAGCTGGATCGACACCCTGAGTAAAAGCCCCAGCTACCTGTGGGTGGTCTGGATCTACCGGAATCTCATCGGCAGCGTGCACTTCTTTTTCATCCTCACCCTTATCGTATTGTGAGTGGGGCACCTTGGCAAACACTTTACTGACACAACATGCAGACAGCCACAGGGATGTCTGGTGGGAAAACAAAGGGCTACAGAATAGCTCAGTGTTCTGGATGATCCTGACTCGGCCCCTGAGTTTTGTTTGTTTATTTGTTGTTAATCCTCACCCAAGGATATTTTTTCCATTGATTTTTTTAGAGAGAGCAGAAGGGAAGAAGGGAGGGAGAGAGAAAAAGAGGGATCAGTGTAAGGCAACATTGATTGGTTGCCTCCCACATGTTACCGGGACCGGGGATGGAATCTGCAACTCAGGCATGTGCCCCTGACCAGAAATTGAACCCAAGACTCTTTGGTGCTTGAGCCAATGCTCCAACCACTGAGCCACAGCAGCCAGGGCTGCCCTTGAGTTTTGGGGTTTTTTTTAAATATGTTTTTATTGATTATAGAGAGAAGAAGGGAGAGAAAGAAATAGAAACTTCAATGATGAGAAAGAATCATTGGTTGGCTGCCCCCTGCATGCCCCCTACTGGGGACCTGGCATGTACCCTGACCAGAAATTGAACCTTGATCTCCTGGTTCAGGGTCAATGCTCAACCGCTGAGCCACACCGGCCAAACCGGCAGGTGAGGTGATTTTTTTTAATGTTTAATATTATCTTAGAGTGTGGTGAGGTGTTTTTTTGCCTGTTTTATGAAGAAAGCAATACCTGCTTTGCCCCTCATAAGAGAAAACATGAAACTAAAATTTTTTTAAAAAAAAGATATGAGAATTATATGTGTGATTCCTTCTGAGACTATAATGTATTAAAATGGGTTGGGCATTATTGATACATAGGATAGTATATTTTCATTTTCAAATAGAAAAAGATCAACTTCTGACTTCTTGTTAAAAAAAAAAAAAAAAAAAAAAAAAAAAAAAAAAAGTAGATCTGACAAGACTGGGCCCGTTTCCTGTATGAACACCTGGTTGGCTGACTAATGGCTGCCCCTCTTGGAAGCCCAGCCCTGATGGCATCTGAGATTGCAGGTACTTGTGTGGAGACACACACACACACACACACACACACACACACACACACGGCTCTCCGTCAGGCCTTCCTCCCCAACACTAGGTTTCCATTGGCCTCTTTAAAATGGAAAGTTCTGCCCTAGCCGGCTTGGCTCAGTGGATAGAGTGTCGGCCTGTGGGCTCAAGGGTCCTGAATTTGATTCCAGTCAAGGGCACATGCCCAGATTGCGGACTCGATCTCCAGTAGGGGGCATGCAAGAGGCAGCCAACCAATGATTCTCTCTCATCATTGATGTTTCTCTCTCTCCCTCTCCCTTCCTGTCTGAAATCAATAAAAGTATATATTTTTTTTAAATGGCAAGTTCTCTGAGTGTCTTGCTCCTTCAAACTCCTAATTCACTGGGGACCTTGTTAGAAATCTGGAATCTGCCTTAGCCAGTTTGGGTCAGTGGATAGAGCACCGGCCTACGGACTGAAGGGTCCCAGGTTTGATTCCAGTCAAGGGCACATGCTTGGGTTGTGGGCTCGATCCTCAGTAGGGGGCGTGCAGGAGGCAGCCAATCAATGCTTCTCTCTCATCATTGATGTTTCTATCTCTTTCCCTCTCCCTTCCTCTCTGAAATCAATAAAACATGTATTTTAAAAAAAATGAAATGTGGAATCTCAGGCCCTACCCTAGACCTGCAGAACCAGCACCTGCATTTTAACAAAGTCCCAGGAAATTTGTGTCACATTCAAGTCTGAATAACACCGTCCAGATTCATAAATGCTGGCTGCACATTAGAATCATGTACATTTTTAAAATAGTGATGTCTGGCCCCACAGTCAGAGAAGCTCAATGAATTGATCTGAGGATGGGCCATGGCGTGAGTCCTTTTACCACCTCTCAGGTGATTCCGTGTGCAGAATGGGGACAGCCATTGCTATAATGTACTCACCCTATCACTCAACCAGACACAACTTTTCAGGAACAAATCTATTTTCAAGTAAATGTTTTCATTCCTTTGCACCCGATTGTAATTCAGAGCCTGAAAAATGCCTGCCATTCTTTCTTCTCGTCTCTTCCAGAATCATCACCTATCTTTACTGGCAGATCACAGAGGGAAGGAAGATTATGATCAGGCTGCTCCATGAACAGATCATTAATGTAAGTTCTGCTGGACCCATCTGTTATCCTCTCCCCCTTTTTAACATTTTATAATGGAAATTTTCAAACATATTCCCAAACAGAATAGTAACATGAGCCCCCACCTGCCCACAACCCACCCGGACAACCATCAGCAATTGTATCTTCTTTTTTCTTGTTGTTGTTGGTAATCCTCACATGAGGATATTTTTTCCGTTGTTTTTTATAGAGCATGGAAGGGGGGAAAGGAGTGGGCATGGGAGGGGGGAGAGAAACATCTATGTGAGAGAGGCACATCGACTGGCTGCCTCGCACACTCGCCCTGACTGGGGCTGAGGAGAGAACCTGCAACACAGGTCATTCCCTTGACCAGGAATTGAACCCGCGACCCTTTGCTGCACAAGCCGATGCTATAACCACTGGGAAACACCTGCCAGGGCAGCAATCCCTTCACTGCAAATCTCTGGGTTATTTTAAAGAAAATCCTAGACTTTATAGCATTTTATCTGTAAAAACTTCTATATGCCTAAGATATACAGACTTTTAAAGAAAGAGAACCACAATACCAATCATCACACCAGAAAGAAAACTTAATAATTCCTTACTATCATCCAATATCCAGTCAATGGTCAGATTTCCCAATTGTATCATTAAGTGTCTTTTTACATTAGGGTTGTTTAAATCTGGTTCTGAAAAAGTGCCATATGTTGTATTTGGTTGGTATGTCTTTAATGTGTCTTTCAATCTATAACTGTTCTCTTCTCCTGCCATTTATTGTTGAAGAAAGCAGGTCACTGTGTTGTAATAATTCCCACATTCTGGATATATCTGATTTTCAACCTGTGGTGTTTGGCATGTTTTGGGGTGTTTGTTTTTTTTAATGTTTTTATTGATTTTTTTAGAGAGAGGGAAAGGGAGAGGGATAGAGAGATAGAAACAGAGAGAAGCATCATCGATTGGCTGCCTCCTGCACTCCCCCTACTGGGGATCAAGCCCACAACTTGGGCATGTGCTCTGACCAGGAATCAAACCAGTGACCGCTTGGTTCATGGGTCAATGCTCAACCACTGAGACACAACAGCTGGGTTGGCATGTTTCTTTTTACTTTTTAAATATATTTTTTTATTGATTTCAGAGAGGAAGGGAGAGGGAGAGAGGAACATCAAAGATGAGAGAGAATTATTGATTGGCTGTCTCCTGCACAGCCCCTACTGGGGATCGAGCCTGCAACCCAGGCATGTGCCCTGACCAGGAATCGAACCGTGACCTCCTGGCTCATAGGTTCATGCTCAACCACTGAGTCATGCCAGTCAGGTTCTTTTTACTTTTTATTTCCTGTAAACTAGTGGTGAGATGTAGAGATCTGATTAGAGTCTAGCTCAACTTTTTAGCCAGAATACTTCATAGATGATGCTATGAGCATCTTATGGCATTTGAGGTATAAAATGTGATTGTCTTTTTTGTGTGTGATGTTAAGAGCAATCAGTGCTTTGTTAGCCTGACTCATCCATTATAAAGCTCATCAGCCTTATCTCTAATGGCCTTGGCAGCCTTTGATGAGTACTGCCTAGAGAAGATCCATTTATTTCATTATGGATTACAAAATAGTGATACTCTGATTCTAGAATTCTTCTGCATATATTAGCTGGAACTCTATAAAAGAAGACTTTTGCTCACCAATGACTTGATTACCTTGCATTCCCAAATTCAGTGCTTCCGTAGAGAAGATTTCCAATTAATAAATGTAGAAGGAATGAGGGGAACAGAAAATCATCATAAAACAAACAGCACAGTAATAATTGTTACAAGCGAGATCCACTAGTGGAAACTAAAATTAACGAGTGAAAATTGAAGGAAAAACGAGGGCATGGGACCTGGATTCACCTGGACTAGACAGACCATCAATGGTGCTCGCTAGCCCACCTCAACTCAGGTGGAACATACCACTCTCTTATCTGCAACAGGTTCACAGGAAAGCAACTCACCCCCCTGGGGAAGGCATACCCTCTTCCTTCCTTCCCCTTCCCAACTAGGGGATTATTTAACTCGGTCTATTCCATTGACATAGATAACTTTGACAAATGAAATAGATTTGATGTCCTTAGATGCAGAGCTATAAGCTTTGACATTCTCAGTGGGAGGACAGGGCAGACCCAGGCAATGCTGGGTGCCCACGCAGGGTTCTGGGGCAGAGGGAATGCCAAGAAGGGAGAGACAATAAACCATTTGTCCTAGACCTTTGACAGTGGCATGTAAGCTGCTTCTAGCATCCAGGCTGGAGAAGGCTGCTACTCAAGCCTGCTAGGGGAATTGCTTTAGAGGAGAATATCCTAATTCAGGAAGGCTTTGGGGGATCACTTGGCTTTACTATGACATGTTTTATTTCATCAAGAAAAAACATGGCGGCAATATCCATCCAATGGACCCTACCTGCCTACAAATAAGCCTTCCCTTCATTTGCTTCTCAACTCCACATCACCATTCATCCTCCATGTTCTCCTTTTCCTTTTTCTTCTTGGCAGGAGGGCAAAGATAAAATGTTCCTGATAGAAAAGTTGACTAAGCTGCAGGACACAGAGAGGAGAGCAAACCCCAGCTCGCTCACACTGGAAAGGACAGACGTGGAGGTGAGGCTGGAGGCCGCCTTGGGATCCCTGTGACCCCTACTTGCCTCCCTGTGCAAAGGACATCAGGGAACTAGAATCACATGAGGGCACTTCACCTTCTGTGTTTACACATTTCTGTATTTTGTATTTAAAAAACCGTACTCACTCATTCAACACTTTCCAGGCCTGGCCTTGCTCTAGGTGCTGGACTATTGTGGTGAACACAGCAAAGGTGTTGTCCTCATGCAGTTTGCATCCATCCTTCCTATAAATTGAATCATACGAAAGTATATCCCACCGTGATGAGAAGTGCCCTGAAATCTCACCCCTCTACATTAATGTATATTCTTCCCGATCTTCCCCCTAGGCAGCTGCAAGCATACTACATGCATCTCACATTTTTATTTATTTTTTTACAAAAGAGGGGTTATAGTATACACATGTATCATAACTCCCCCCACCCTTAATATCTCAGACATTGTTTCAGTCTGTACATATTTGGACATTTGGATTGTTTTCATGTTTTTTAAGATCACAAACAGTACATAATGAAACATTTTTGTTATAATTATTTTAGGCAAGTATTTCAGCCATAGGATGGCCACATAATAATGTTAATAGATATTGCCACATCACTCTCTTAAGAGTTTACTAGTCTCACTCTTACCAGGAGGGCGTATGAGATGCCTGGCACCCTGATTCCAGAGCCTATGCTGGCTTCCCTGGTGACCTGGAAGATACAGATAAACAGCAAACCCATCTTATTCAGACGCCACTAGTTCTGGAAGTTAAGACTTTGTCAGAAGGAACTGTTGTGTCAATTACTATCTGTGCGATTAATACTATCAGCACCATTTAGGGTTCTAGAGGCTCAACTCTAAATCCTGTGGAGGCAGGGACCATGTCGATGGCCTTGCAGCCCCAGGTCCTAATCTGTTACCTGGCATAGTGTAACTGCTCTGTGACACGAAGTGGGGGCGGGGGGAGAATGAATGGAATCACAGCCCCTAAAGAACACAACAAAACATGTTTGATGTTTCTATGGTTGAGCCTTGTCACCTCTCCATTTTAATCTGTCACCTCTCCATTTTAATCTGTCACCTCTCCATTTTAAAATTGGGGGGGAGGGGGGTGCACATACCTTCCCAACAATGCAACAGGACCTGGGCTCTTTTCCAGTGATAAGGCTGCCTCTTTTCTTCTCTTTCAGGAGCCGGCCCCTTTGCACAGCAGGGAACATGAAGCTGCTCATGGTGAGTAACCCAATTGGCGCCAAAGAAGACCTAATTTACCTAGAGGACAAACCCCAAGGTAGAGGGTCAGAGCTGCTCATGAATCAGTTACTCGTTCAATTGCAAGAACCTACCCAAAGTGGCTTTAGCAAAAACCCAAGAGTAATTCTTGCTTTAACAGCCGGGGCTCACAATATGTCACAAGAACCTGGTTTCTTTCTGTTCAGTTGTTTTCCATGTCAGCTCCTTTCTCAAGGAGGCGCTTCCTAATAATTGCAAGGCAGCTTTCTCAGCTTCTTCTGTCAACTGGCCAGAGCTGAGTCACCGGCCTCATCTGTAGACGCAGGTGGAACAACCGTACAGACCACAGGGACTGGGACTGGGGGAGAGTGGCTTCCCTAAGAAAACCTGTGGCTGATGCCAGAGGGGAATGAATGCCGGGGAGGAAACAAACAAACCGATCAACTCATCTTTTGGGGGATAGCATTTACTGAGACTTATCCAATGATGGGAGTTCAAGGGGCAGCGCTGAAGAAACTTAAAAGGAGGAGGCAAGGAAGGCATGAGAAGCTGAGCTCTCTTGAAGGCCAATTTGGCCTTTCCCTTGGAGAGCTGGGGCAGGGTGTGTCTGTGCTAACTTCTCTTTCCTGTGTCAAACCCAGACCTGCGATTTAGGAGGTCAGTTCAAGAAAATAGTCCAAAGGCCTGAGGATTATTGTGGTGGCCAGACAACAATCAAAAAGGACAGAAGATAAAGATGCAACAACGTTTGGAGCTTCTTGGAAGAAAATTCAAGCCATCTGGTAGGAGTAGAAACTGACCACAATGTAAATACTGAAGTAAAATTGGCCATTCCCTGCTGCTATTTAACACTTGAATTGCTGATTTTTTTAAGATAAAACATTTGGGATTTTCTAATAAAGACTGTCGTAATATTTTAACTAGTTCACAGAAACCTTGGAAAAGATAACCTGGGAATGATGTATTTTATCGTTAAGAGATGTGCATATGAGTTATTGGTCCTTAGAAATCCCTCCCCCCAGACCTCCCAGACCTGGCAAAGGTTTGGAAAGTGGTGCTCAGACAAGTGGTACAGCCTGAATAAAAACGTGGTCCTCTGTCAGGGGTGTGATGCCTCTCAGTTGTGGGACCTGCATTTGTTCATGACTTTGAACTAAAAATATTCCAAAAGTGAAATACAAACAGGGGTCTCATCTATGAAGTCTGTTGCATATGAAGTACATGAGTCTTTGGGGTTGGACGGGGATGTGGGTGTGGACAGGACTCTGACCTGTGAGGTTTTATATGTGACCATCAAAGTCTTATGTTGAACCAAACATGAGACCAGTGGTATGTGTGGAATATATATATGTATGTATATGTTTCTGTGGGGAATAAATATGTGTGTGTGTGTGTGTGTGTGTGTGTGTGTGTGTATACCTATGCATACACATATAGATAGCATTCTTTTTGCAGATTTGCCAAATGATTCACAAGACCTGTGACTGTACTTAAAACTGAAGGGTCCAGCAGAAAGGTGCAATTACCAAATTACCTGAGGTGTGGAATTTCCTCTTGACTCATCACTGTCATGAAATCTAATTGGAACTGAATTTAAAAAACATTTCAGATACATTTGAAACACAAACATACAATCAGTGTTCAATCATGGATTCACTTTTTCATTCACTTAGTTATTCATTAATTCACTTTATCAACTGAGTTAATTTCTTGTGGTGGCTAGTAGTGTCTGTTCATTTCACAAATACGTGCCAAGTGGTGAACAAAATAGTGAACAAGTTAAGACACAGTCTCTCCCCTCAGATGCCTAGCAAGTTAACTCAGATAGGAGCTTAATAATTAATATTATAATTGTATAGATGCTGTGCAGGAGAAGCCCATGGGACAACTGGGATACAACTTGTCTCGGGTCAGTGGAATTGGTATTTGAAGTGATTTCCGCCCCCCCAGCTCTGTATCATCTTAATGTTGTTTGTGTTTCTCTGGCTTCTACATCAAAAGGTAAACTCCCTCTGAAAGCATCATTTTTGCTGACTCACTACATACTAAAGGTTTCTATCTCCATTCACCTCCATCTCTTGTCCCCACTTGTGTGAAGCCTGCTTCCCTGGAGATGTAAACACAACAGAACGATTGAGTCTGCCGGCCTCACACACACGTGGATGTGAGGATGCGTTTTACATTTAGTCTTGAGATGGGGGTGTATTAGTTTCCTGGGGCTGCCGTAACCAAATATCATGGGTTGGGTGGCTTAAACAACACAGATTTATTTTCTCACAGTTCTGGAGGCTAGACGTCCAAGATCAAAGTGTTGGTATCCACAGTTTTGGTTTCCTTCTGAGTCCTGTCTCCTTGGTTTGCAGACGGCCACATTCTTGCTGTGTCTTCACACGGTGTTTTTCCTCTATGTGTGCAGATTCCTGTGTACCTTTCAGTGTTCAGATTTTCTCTTCTTATAAGAACACCAGGCAATTGGAATAGGCTCACCTTTATAGCTTCCTTTTAATTTATTCACCTGTGTAAAGGCCAGATCTCCAAATATGGTTACATTCTGAGGCACTGGGTGTTCAGACTTCAGCAGAGGAAGTTTGGGTCGACACAGTTCAGACCATAACAGAGGTCAGCTCTCCCCGTCCCATCATAGCCTCTCTTTAGGCATCATGGTTCCCAGTGCTGGCTGCCCCCAGAATCACATAGGGAGCTGTCGGACAACAGCCAAGCCCAGGCCCCACTCTAGACCAACTAGAGCAGACATCCATATTTTTTCTTTAAAGCTCCCCAAATGGTTTTAGTAGAAAGCCAGGACTGAGGACTACTGAGCTAGGATCTAGAGTAGTCCTTCCCAAACTTGCCTGACCATAAAACCACTGGAGGCACTTATTAAACATACAAAAGGTGAGTTCATAATATCGCATCAAAATCTTCAGGGGACATTCCCCATTTTCCTCTTCCCACCCTTATTTTAATTAGTTCAAAATGATAAAAGTAACATGCTTAACATGCTTTCCAACCATCCCTTGAAAGCTGGCAGTTTTACATATATATATATATACATATATATATATATATATAAAGGATATATATATGTATATATTAGCCTCTTTTGAATTTCTGCAGGATCTGATCCTTCAAGCGGTCTCAGCGAATGGCCCAGTTCATTTCTTAGGAGGCTATGAGATGCTTTTGTGTAAAGTTCAATTATAAAAGGAGTGGCTAAAATAGCACAGACTAGCCCTAATCAGTTTGGCTCAGTGGATGGAGCGTCAGCCTATGGACTGAATGGTCCCGGGTTCGATTCCAGTCAGGGGCATGTACCTTTGTTGCAGGCACATCCCCAGTAGGGGGTGTGCAGGAGGCAGCTGATCGATGTTTCTAACTCTCTATCCTCTCCCTTCGTCTCTGTAAAAGTTCAATTAAAAAAATTATAAATATAAAAAAAAATAGCACAGACTGGCATATTTTTTTTATAACCTTTGAATTGAGGACAGATGGTAAGAATTCAGCTCACTCATAGGAACTGTCTCTAGTATGGTAGCACCTCACAGAATCCCCCCTCACTTGTCCAAGTCAAAACGTTTTCATAGCATTTCCATGTCTGATCAACCGCCAGACAGACCATTGAGAGGAGCTCACTGTGGAGCAGAGGGCCCTCTGCTTTGCTCACGGCTGCAGCTGATACCAGTGCCTTACACCTGTGTGCTGTTACTCTCCACTCGGTGCCTTTTCCACTTTAATCGCCAGGGCTCTTGTTGCAAAGCAGATTCTAATTTGGGAGGCCAGGAGGGATGGGTCTGAGGACCACACCCTGAGCAGTACGCTGGAGCATCCTCACATTTTTTTTCTTATTTTATCTGCACTCTTAGGGACATTTTTCAAAAACACTCCCACTTCTATCATTTGAACCTCATACCATTATGGCTGTAAGACAGTTAGTGCAAATATCATGACCTCCATTTGACAGGTGATGAAAACTTGGGCATGCACAGGTAAGTGATTTGCCTAAGGTCTCCTAGCTAGCCAGTGGCAGAACCGAGGACTTCAGGTTTTCTCTAGCTCAGTGGTTCTCAGATTTGTGGATGTATCAGAACTGCCTGGAGGTTTAAAACGAATCCTGAGCCCCACCCAGAGTTTCAGTTCTGGGACGGGCTCTGAGAATTTGCGTTTTTAACAAGTTCCCCCATAGCTGATGTTGAATAAATGTCTCAAAGGACAGCATCCACTGTGCCTAGCCTCTTAATACTTGGCGTTTGGCACATAGATTTTGAGCATAAAGTTTAATAATAGAGCACACAAAGTCATCGATCTTCAGCATTTTTGATAAATCAAATAACCTCACCAAACCGTAACTGTCACTCCATGCTAAAGGTTTCAGTGGATGTTTGAATGTTCATTAATCCACACCCTTCCTATCCTCAAGGCTGTGGTTTACTGTTCTGTTCAAGCACTGTTTCCACTTTAGAGAGTGGTAGGTGTAATTTTATTTAGAAATTTGCATCTAATAAAAATAGAATATTTATGTCTTGGTAAAATTCTTGTCAAAACAGGATTGTAGACGCCAGTCTCCAAATAAGAAAATGAGTATTGTTTAATCAAGTAAGTAGTAGATTTTTTAAGCCTTTTGAGGTAGCCCTTCAATGTTATGTCTCCAGAATCCTGAAAGCAGAGGTGCAGTCCAATGAACAGATGTGATTTTTATCTGTATTGATGTTCTTAGAAAGAAAGCTTTCGATTGGGATTTTGGATGGCCCCTTGATACTGCTGAATCTGGATCATTTATCTAAACTCCCAAATTTTCATCTTACTGTATGTGTATCTCTAGCTTCCTCAAGGAAGTTTCCACTGATATCCTCTAATTCGTTCCTTCAACATTTATTGAACATATACAGGCATTGCTACAGGTATGGACCAGCCATGATAAGCAGGGCTTTAGGATGTGGGCTCTGGAATTATATCACCTGTGCTTGAATCCTTATCCTATTACTGTTGTGTGACTGTAGACAAGCTACTTAATTTCCCTGTGCTTTGGTGTCCTTTAGCATATTATGGTAACTACCTCATGGTGTTGTTGCAAAGTAAATACATGGAAAACATGTGAAATAGTGTCTTGCACATGGTAGTCAGTAAATGTTATTAACAAGCCTTTTACATGAACTTTCGTTTAATCACAACCACCCTCTGAGGTGACACTACTACTGCCCTTATTTTACAGATGAATTAGTAACTAGTCCAAGGTCATACAGCTGGCAAGGTGCTAATCAGGAAATCAGATTTACCTTTCTCTGATCCCAAATCCTGTTTTTAACCCAATACCAAGCCTTTCAAGTAAGTACTTAATAGTATATATATTATTTCAGAGAGGGAGAGAATAGAAACATCAACGATGAGAATCATTGATTGGCTGCCTCCTGCACACCCCTTACTGGGGATCAAGCCCAAAACCGGGGCATGTGCCCTGACCAGGTATCAAACCTTGAGCTCCTGGTTCATAGGTCAGCGCTCAACCAGAGCCACAGTGGGCAGGCAACAGTAATACTTATTAACATCTTTCTTCATCCAAACTCTCCATTCTTCAAGGCCCAAGCCACTTTAGCACAGGCTCTAAATCCTTAATTGGGTATGGCACAGTCAAGAGCAAAATGGATTCGGGACAAAAGTCAAGACAGTAAACTGGCTTTCAAAAGGTCTTCACACAAGAGGGATGTTAACTTTACTGCCCCTAAAGGCATTCCTTCCCTGTCGGTGTGCATCTCTGAATATAAGTCACAGGAGGAATTTGGGCCACAGAAATTTTGGGTGGTTCTCATCATTTGTCATAATGTGACACAGAAATACATGCAGTTTAGGTATCTGCTCCATTTATTGAATAAATCTTTATCTTATAATCTTAACATTCAAGGAAAATTTTATAAATGGAAAATTATCCCAAACCCCACCTACATGCTCCTGCCAACACCAACTATAGCAAAAGTCCATTTGCTTCTCACGGCCACCTGGCTGCGTGGACCGGTGGCCTGCCGCGCGTGCGAGGCTGGTGACCCACTGGACTCAGGAGGGAAGTCATGACTAAGTAGTGAGGCCTGCGATCAAGGCTACAGATGGGGCTGTTAGGTAGGGGGAAGAGGGGCCTAGAGGAGAAAGAAAGCTTTGCAATCTTTTAAAGTCTCAACTTTATTTTAAATATTGCTATTTAAGTTCACAATAAGACCCTCCAGTAGCTCGTGTGGGAAGGAATTGGGAATCAAGAGCTGTATAAAGGCAGGCAGGGGGTTAAAAGCAAGAGCTCTGAGTCAGACCAACCTAGATTTGAATCCCAATTGCACCAAGAAATTTGAGACCTTAAGTAACTAATTTTGCAGTGCCTCAGTTTCCTCAAAAAGCCAATACCTCTAAGATTTTTGTGAGATTTAATTAAGATAATGTGTTAAAAACCACTAAAGATCCTGGCAAATAGTAAAAAAAAAATTTTAACTATCATAAGATCAGGCTCTGCTACATCACCAGTGGTGTCATTTTTGAATAAGACCCTTCCCTTTCACAGGTTTTAGTTTTCTCACGTAAAATGAGGATAAGCCTAGATGTCCTTGAATAGTCTCCGATCATCTGTTGTAGAGTAGCCTGAAAGGGTGAAACTCTGCCCCCTAGTGGTCTATAGTTCTTATTTCAAGATACCACAAACAATCCCTCAGGCTGGTGTCAAGACTTCCCTGACATTTGCGTCACACTGAAGCTGTTGCCCCGGCACTGGATTGCTGATAGCAGCTTCCCTAAATTCCTTATGTCCTAGGATTTGATGCTTGATAAGCAGTTTTCCCTTCGTGCTCCTTTTAATGATTTTATTATTAGTATGGTCACAAGTTTGATGACTACAGTACATTGATAATGTAGCCAAATACAAATATTTTAAATAAATTACATGTGTGTCAAATTTTAAAATGTCAAGTTTGAGTGATCATGCGTATCCCATGCATTTGCATTTGTGCTCCCACATTGCACAGCTCAACCTGTGCCTATCCTCACTGGGTCTTGGTGTGTGCCTCAGCAAGGTCTGGGCAGGAGCTATTGTGCCTTTTTTTGCAGACCCAGATTTTCAAGAGCAATGGTGTTGAACTCAGGCATTCCATGGAGCACGGTGGCAACACCAGGCTTTGCTTTGGTCCAAGGTTAAAATGCAATTACCAACTAGTGCTTCTGCGGGCCACCCGATTCCCCATGGCTTGGGCTAGCACAAAGGGTTTTTCAGGATCCCTGCATGAGGCCAGCAGGCAATCTCTGTACCCATGGCTTCCTCCCTGGGGGAAAAGTCTAGTAGTGAGGTGGGCAGTCTTCCAACATGCTGTCGGTGATATAGCTGGAACCAAGATAGGATTCATAGTAACTTTTTTCATCAAAAGTATTAACAGTCCAACCAACCACCTGAATGCCGTTAGCGGACCACTTCTTTAGGTAGTTCCTGGAGAAAGAGGAAAAAACAAATCTGTTAGAACAATGACCAGTTGGCCTAGGAATCTATGCTGGTCCCTAAGTCTGGTACTCAGTGAGTACTCGCAGCGCTCTTAACTGGCCGCTGCACTGAAATCGGAGAAAATGTTCCAGAAGCCAGCTGTCACACTGTCACAGCTTAAAACTTTTCAGGGGCTTACTAAAAATCCCACCCCTTCCCAATAAGTCATAACAGAGGCCGTTCCTAGCTTAGTCCCACCTGTCTCTTTGGCCTCATCTTAAACCATACCCCCCCTTTCTTTCCTGTGCTGCAGTACACTGACTTTCTTTTAGTTCCTTGAAACAACCAGATTCTTGGCTGCCACAACATTTTTGCATGTGTTTCTCCCTCTGACTTGATCTCCACACCACTCCCCTCAGTTCCTACTCACCCTTTAGCTGTTTTCCCCAACTCCCCTGACTAGGTAAAATTTTATATGCACACTGTTCTCACCTACAAAGCATTTATCTTAGCTGTAATTTGTTGAATTTTTATTTGATTAGCATCTATCTCCTTTTCCACTTAACTATAACCTCCATGAGGACAGAACATGGCTTTGTTTCTTTACCACAGTATCTTCAGATTCTTAATACCTTGCAATACTGTAGACCAAGCATGTCAAACTCGCGGCTGGCCACGAGAGTTTGACATGCTTGCTGTAGACATACACCAAATATTTATTAAATTAAATGCATACATTATAATCAGCTGAAATACACAGCTACAAAACTGCTAAAAAACAGGTTGCCAGTACATTAAGGAACAAGTAGTTTTGGAAACAATGGAGCAGAGCCTGCGATGTAGAGGGGAGTGGGAGGAAAGACTGAAGAGATGAGTTAGGCACCCACAGGACATCTTCACTGTGGTTCTGTCTGACCTGGATCCTACATTGGTTTTCAAAGGAGACGATCACAAAAAAAATGTAATTTCTTTCTCATCAGTTTGACAAATTTATTTTTTCTATAAAATGCACTTAAAACCAAGAATATTTGATCAACTTGTTTTTGGAAATAATAAAGTATGCCTGAACTCTTCCCACCTAAGAAGCTAGTGGCATTCCAACTTAATAAAGGCACGTTGGGCTCTGTGGGTGGGAACTTATCCAGGCTGTCCACTGTTACTCTTCCTTTCCAAGAAGAGCATTCAAGAAATGTGTCAGAAGATAAAATACTGTTCAACTTACGGGGATATAGAATCCTTCTGTACGAGGAAAGCTGAAATCCCACACAGGTACCACAAGACATTATGCATGCTCCAGTCGAGTAAAATGTCTAAGACCACAAATGTGGACAGTTTCCACATGTTATCATAGCGTGGTTTCCCATCTCCCGTATGGCTGAGGCTCCAAGGTCTGTGAGTTAAAGCCGTTACTACATTCCGATCTGTTTGTCTCATCTGAAAAGGAATTTTGGAAAATATAATAATTATCATAAGTCCAATACCTCTCACTTCTTATTTAAATTTAGCCAATGTTCTCATTCTGAAAAGTGATTTAGTACCCTGTCCCCATGTCTATTAAATAAGTACTCTATCATAAACACTTTGAGAAAATAAGGTTACAGAGTAAAGCATCTATATACATAAAAGCCCAGAGACCCTAATGGCGGAACAACCAGAACGACAGGAACAACTAGTCGCTATGAAGCGCACTGCAGCTGCCAACCGGCCCGATCCGGGCCCCGATAGGCCCCCAACCTCCCGCAGCCCCTCTCCCCCAGCCAGCCCTGCCTCCAATAGGGCCCCCCAACACAACTGGGGGCGGGACCAGCCAGCCAACCACCCGCGGCCCCTCCCCGCAGCCGGCCGGCCCCCCGATAGGCCTCAATCACCGGCCAGGCCAAGGGACCCCACCCATGCACGAATTCGTGCACTGGAACTCTAGTTTAATATAAGTATCAATAAGAACAATTCCTTTACAATTCTAAACAAACTGCAATCCTATCTTTAAAATGAGAAAATCATAATCTCAAAGAGAAATCATAATCTGGGGGTCAAGTTTTAATAATGTCACAAGAAAATACTTTCAACAGGATATCAACTTAAATTTTGGGCAAAGATAATTAGAACTCAATGAGGATGGAACTACAATCATTTCAAGATAGGCTGGTTAGCTTTTGATCCTTTCTAGAGAAAATGGCTGAAAAGAGTGGTGGGGGTGGGGAAGCAGGATAAGTACGTGAGAAGAGAATAAAGAGGAAAAATGTGGGGTTGGGATAGGAAGAGGGCAAAGGAGAAATCGGGAGATATGGGTGGAATTATTTAAGTCTGTGTTCTATGCTCCTCTGGAAAATACAGCATACATTTTAATTTTTTTAATGTTTTTATTGATTTCAGAGAGGAAGAGCTAGATAGAAACATCAATGATAAAAGAGAATCATTCATCAGCTGCTTCCTGCGCACCCCCTACTGGGGATCAAGCCTGGAATCCGGGCATGTGCCCTGACCGGGAATCAAACCATGACCTCCTGGTTCATAGGTCCACTGAGCCACCAGGGCCGACCTGCAGCATACATTTTAAAAGCCTCTGTGGCCAAGTAAGTTTGGGAAACACTGATCCAAATATTTGAAAGCCCTATGAGACCTATTCATCTTATTGACAGTTTACATGTGGACTGGCTACACTCTTACTATAAAATTTTAAATGTATGCTCTGTTGGTCACTATTAAAGAGTGCTACAGAATCAACTCATTATTTTGGAAACTGGCAAATTAAGGGAAAGATTAAGCATTTATTTGCCTATTGGGCAACTAAATAGTAGATTAGTTTCTTTTTATAGAAGTATTCTAGCTAATACATGAAGAAATTATAGAATTAAAATATTAACATTTTGCAACCCCTAATAAAGTGAGAAAGCTGACCACTGGCATCAGTAGCAGCTGCTAACAAGAGTCAGCCAGCTATTTTTCAAAAGGTATATTTTGCTGTTACTCAGTAAGATGTAGAGCTACATAATTCTTTCTGTTCTGAGAATGTTTTCCAAAGTAATCTGAATGAACCTATAAACATTAAAAAAAAAGGAGCTAAAAAGGAATCACGGGATTTTTAATATATTTTTTATTGATTTCAGAGAGAAGAGGGATGAGAGAGAGAAACATCAGTGATGAAAGAGAATCATAGATTGGCTGCCTCCTGCATACCCCCTACTGGGGATCGAGCCCACAACCAGGGCATGCACCCTGACTGAAAATTGAACCATGACCTCCTGGTTCATAGGTTGACACTCACCTACTGAGCCACACCAGCCTGGCCGGAATCATGGTATTTTTAAATGGGATATGAGTACATTCCCCTTCCTGAATTTCTCTGGTTAACTTAAAAGAGGAGTTTCTTAACTGATTCAGTTCAATTTAATTGGCATCTGTCTTACAGTTATTTGGCCCATTGCTATTATCACCACCAACTAATATAATATTATTTACAACAAATATCCTAAATCTTACCTTATAGATAACTTCTGGCAAGAAAGAGCAGACCATACTAGTATTGTATAGTTGAGGAAACTCCATATATATTTTCTTTAGAGCATCAATAGCCTGTAAAACATAAGCAATTCATGTATTTAAAATCTATTAAAATGTAATAGTCTTAGGCAATAACTATTACATATTAAGTACAACCCTATCAAATAAATCAGAGGTTTACTAATATGTAGGGACACTGAAAGGAGTATTAGTAGATCCCACTATCTATTGGGATATATTTTAAACTCACATCTGCAGCATCTGAAGAAATTGGAATACAGCTACTTTATTGTCTTGCTAAAAGGCTCACCTCTTTTGTCATATTTTTGGAAAGTATGGCAAACTGTAGGCCAGTGGAGGCTAGAAACAAAATTTTAAAATATTTTCCCTATACCTTAGTGTAGCCACTAGGAAAAGTCCTTTTATACCCAAAATTCTATCACCCTGTGCTTTTCCGAGCTAAAGTATAAGCCACCAGCCTGGAAACTACAAAAGGGTAGGTTTTCTCAGTCCAGAGGACTGAGAGGAAACGGCATCCACCATGAACATGAAGGTAGGAACAAGGGAGGAATTGGGGAGAGCTGGAAATCTCCCAACTCTCCACAAGGTGAGCAAAAATTTCTTTTTGTAGCCCAGCTAATAAATGAAGAAGGAATTATAGAATTAAAATATTGACATTTTGTAACCTCTAGTGAATTAATAGATTTGGCCATTGAATTTAATGCTGCTACATCATAATTTTTGAAATGCTGCTAATTTTTGGAAAGTCACACATACCTATAACCAAATAAAGGCAACAAAATGGATTCCAAAAAAGAAAAAAAGAACACAGAAATTATTCGTGTTATGCTTCCCCTTCACTAATGGAACAGAGCGTGAGCCACAGAGCCGAGTTATTTTCCCGCTGTTTGAATTATCACATGCACTGCACTGTGTGTAACTCTTCATCTACATTATTTATTTAATTCTCACAACAACCCTATGTGGTAGTTTCTTTTATGATTCCCATTTTACCCATGAGGAAATTGAAACTTATCAAGGTTGAGGTTACACTGTACCAAGTCCATAATATTGGCTCCTGTGCTCGACTGTCACCAATTTGCCGCCAACATCTGATCCTTTATATGACATTTTGGTGAATTGGATCACTATGTTCCACCCAGGCTTGCCCAAACCACCTTTTGAGCACCCAACCAGAAAGCTTAAATAGCTGGATTAACAACAACAAAATTGTCTTCTCCCTCTGCCCACCTCCCTCTTATTCTAAGACAGTGGTTCTCAACCTTCCTAATGCCGCGACCCTTTAATACAGTTCCTCATGTTGAAATTGGTGACCCCCAATTTCAATGTTACAAATTGGACATAATTAAAGCATAGTGATTAATCACAAAAACAATATATAATTATATATGTGTTTTCCCATGGTCTTAGGCGACCCCTGTGAAAGTGTCGTTCGACCCCCAAAGGGGTCGCGATCCACAGGTTGAGAACCGCTGTTCTAAGAGAATAAGTATGAAGGTCAGTACACCATGGGTGAAATGTAGGACCTATCAGGGTTCCCAAATATGGGCCTTATTATCAATAAAACCTGAAGTGCTCATTAAAAATACATGTTCCTTGATCCCTAGACATTTCAGAATTTCTTCTCTAGTTGGTATGACCCAGAAATCCATAGTTTTTATAGGCATTCCTGGTAATTCTGACGCAGACCAACTGAAAAACCTAGAACTATCAATTTAAAAGAATAATAAATTAACCAGAGCACCATTCTCTTTTTTCTTCAAAAATAGTTTACTAGCCCTAGCTAGTTTGGCTCAGTGGAGAGAGCATGGGCATGCGGACTGAAGGGTCCCAGGTTCGATTCCAGTCAAGAGCACATGCCCGGGCTCGATTCCCAGTAGGGGCAAGCAGGAGGCAGCTGATCAATGATTCTCTCTCATTATTAATGTTTCTATCTCTTTCTCCCTCTCTGAAATCAATAAAAATATGTATGTTTAAAAAATACAAGTTTACTATACTAAAGTTAGAATATATACTGTGGCTGGTATTTCAGATTTTAACAACTGGTTTCAATTGTATACTGGGATTAATTTTAAAACTTGGCATCATCAGAATTCTAAACCAGTAGATGGCCATTACTGATTCTAACTATTATAAGCTAGGGGTAAATACGCAAGTTACCCAAATGCGGAAAAAGTATTTGTACTTGAAAAGCTGATTACAGCCGAAACCGGTTTGGCTCAGTGGATAGAGCGTCGGCCTGCGGACTGAAAGGTCCCAGGTTCGATTCCGGTCAAGGGCATGTACCTGGGTTGTGGGCACATCCCCAGTGGGAGATGTGCAGGAGGCAGCTGATCGATGTTTCTCTCTCATCGATGTTTCTAACTCTCTATCTTTCTCCCTTCCTCTCTGTAAAAAAATCAATAAAATATATTTAAAAAAATAAAAAAATAAAATAAAATAAAAGCTGATTACAAAAGAACAAATGTTATCTGAACTACATTTTCCCATTATTTTCCATTGCAATATGTTTTCATGAGTAAAAGTGTATGTTCTAAAATGTAAGCAAAATTTTACATAGGAATGTCATACATATTTGAAAGTATTATAGTAGTTTTCTGACACAAGTATACCAGTAACTATTCAAATCATAGAATAACAAAACTATACATAAGAGATAGAAATCATACAGAAGGGCTAAAGCTGTGCAAAAAATATCCTATTAGCTATCAGAAGCTTTAAATTTTATCCATAGTTGTCTATCTAAGACAGCGGTTCTCGACCTGTGGGTCGCGACCCCTTTGGGGGTTGAACGACCCTTTCACAGGGGTCGCCAAAGACCATCGGAAAACACATATATAATTACATATTGTTTTTGTTCAATTTGTAACAACAAAAATATATCCTGCATATCAGATATTTACATTATGATTCATAACAGTAGCAAAATTACAGTTATGAAGTAGCAACGAAAATAATTTTATGGTTGGGGGTCACCACAACATGAGGAACTGTATTAAAGGGTCGCGGCATTAGGAAGGTTGAGAACCACTGCTCTAAGACCTTTAGCAGCCAGATGAAACTGGTTGTGTCAACTCCTGTTTAAAAAGTGCCTCCTTACTATTTATTTCATATCTCTGGCAAAAGCTTTATGCAAATTGGAGATACCTCTTCTATGTTATGCTACTTGTAGAATATTAGTTGTTAAAAGGTTCCATCAAAGGTTAAAAAAAGATTCGGTGATTTACAGTTTTCCTTACAGATGTGGATTTTTGCATTGTACACTTCCATTAAGCAAACATAATTTATAAAAATAATTTAAGAATAAATAACAAAATATGTAGTTTTGGAAATCACTAACAATTAAAGATGTCTTTTTTAAAAAGCAAAGTCTATGGTATAAATTTTACCTTATTTGCATGGCCCTTGACATCAAAGAAGATTGTGAGGTTTTGGTTTAGGGACTCTACAACTCCTTCTCTCAAGGTAGGGATTTTTTCATTAGGGAAATCATTCCTGTCAGAGAGGGAAAAGGCATAGTACATTGCAGGAAAAACAAGAGGTACAAGTTTAGTGGAACAGACATTTAAACAATGTCTCCCAAACAAAAGGAAAGAATGTTTTCCCCAACTTCCTTTCTTAACTACACTAAAGTCCAAGGGTAATTTACTATACGGACTTGAACCAAAGTACAGATATTCCTGACCAAAGAACAGAAACAACAACAAAAATCATTTAATTTTTAGGAAGTCACTGGATTTCCACTGAATTAGCAATATAAGTAGAAATTCTACTCAACAAAAGGCAGAATATATGCCACCTTTGGAAACTCAGAGACTTAATTTTAAGATTGTAATTGCCCTTGCCCTAACCGGTTTGGCTCAGTGCACAGAGCGTCGGCCTGCGGACTGAAGGGTCCCAGGTTCGATTCCTGTCAAGGGCATGTACCTTGGTTGCACGAATTTTGTGCACCGGGCCTCTAGTAAAAATATATATTTTTTAAAGTTAAACAAAATAAAAATAAAATGTATTAAAAAAAGAAAAAACAAAATGCAACCTATTCCAATTGTAGAATAAAAACTTGTTATTGCTAAAGATATAAAGATGGTATACTGACTCTGTTATCATGCTTTTCCCTCCCCTCCAAGATTTTTAAATTGATTTTTAAAGAGAGAGAAAGGGAGAGGGAGAGAGAAACATCAATATGAGAATGAAACATGGACTGATTGGCTGCCTCCTATACGCCTCCTATGGGGCATCAAGCCTATAATTTAGGCATTTGCCCTAACCAGGCATCGAGCCGACAACCTTTTGGTGCATGGGACAACACCCAACCAACCGAGCCACACTGGCCAGGGTTGATACCATGCTTTCTTAAAGGATTTTAAGAGTGATGCTGACACTAAGCATTTTTTGCTTTTTAAGTGCTAACTTTGAACCTGACATCCTATGTGCAATGTCACTGTCACATTAAAACCAGCCTTTTACTCTAGCTGGTTTGGCTCAGCGTCTGACTGTGGACTGAAGGGTCCCGGGTTCCATTCCGGCCAAAGGTGCATGCCCAGGTTATGGGCTCAATCCCCAGTTGGGGGTGTGCAGGAGGCAGCCAATCCATGATTCTCTCTCATCATTGATGTTTCTATCTCTCTCTCCCTCTCCCTTCCTATCTAAAATCAATAAAAATACATATTTTTTTTAAAAACAGCCTTTCCTTCGCATGCAGCAGAGCATGAAATATCTGATTACTACAGTAAAGGGTAATCTCAGCAGCCTGGATTTAGAACTTGCAAGTATTACAATATTCTTTCTAGACTAAAACATGATTTCCTTTGGCTGACTTTTAATTTCTTTCCGATTCTAGGAAAATTAAGTCTAAATCATCTTTTCGGGAGGAATTTAACTTAACCATAGGGTGGAATACTCAGTACTCAAGTAGTACTCATCATTGTCCAGAGAACTGATACGACATAATAACAGTAAGCACAGTTTTCAGTATTACAAGAGGAGGATTTAAATAACCACGTTCCACTTGTGCACTGCTGGTGGGAATGCAGACTGGTGCAGCCACTATGGAAGACAGTATGGAGTTTCCTCAAAAAACTACAAATGGAACTCCCATTTGACCCTGTGATCCCACTTCTAGGAATATATCCCAGGAAACCAGAAACACCAATCAGAAAGGATATATGCACCCCTATGTTCATAGCAGCACAATTCACCATAGCTAAGATCTGGAAACAGCCTAAGTGCCCATCTGTAGATGAATGGATTAGAAAACTGTGGTACATCTACACGATGGAATACTATGCTGCTCTAAAAAGGAAGGAACTCTTACCATTTGCAACAGCATGGATGGAACTGGAGAGCATTATGCTAAGTGAAATAAGCCAGTCAATGAAGGAAAAATACTACATGATGTCACTCATTTCTAGATAATAAAGACCATTATAAACTTATGAACAAAAATAGATACAGAGGCAGAGCTGCCTCGAACAGACTGTCAAACTACAGCAGGAAGGCCGGGGAGGGTGGGAGGGCAGGAGGGGGGTAGGTAAGAGATCAACCAAAGGACTTGTATGCATGCATATAAGCATAACCAATGGACATAAGACACTGGGGGGTAGGGGAGGCCAGGGGATTGTCATGGGCAGGGGAATAAAAAAGGAGACATATGTAATACTTTTTGTAATACTTTAAGCAATAAAAAAATAAAAAAATTAAAAAAAACACAACAACAACTAAAAATAAATAAATAAATAAATAAATAACCACGTTCCAAAGTATATTATTACCCAGTATACCAATCCCAAGGTGTTTATAGTTGTTAATGGTAGGAAGAGTGTGGGTTCTATGGTCATGAACATTTGAGAAACACTAAATTAAAGGTAAGAATTGACTGACATGGGCTCTTTCCCAGGAGGAACAACTAGAGTAAAGTGTTTGATTTTACTTGATCATAGAGCCCTTTTCTTGGAGAATATTGTATAGGACTAGTTTTGATATAAATATATATAGGGCGTCCCCCCAAAATATATACACACAATTTGAATAATTACAAAGGCAGTGTTTGTTAAATACATTTCATTTTTCAAAACTGAGCTATCAGCTGTTAAAGTGTGTATACATTTTTGGGGGGACACCCTGTATGTATACAATTTATATGACAGTACAACGTAACTGTCATGTTAGTGACTAAGACAGAGTATTGTCTTAAGAATAATTCCGAGGCCAAATTTGGCCTCAGTGGGAAAAGATTAAAAACATCCATTTCTGTTGTTCCTGGCACCTGCTTACTACTTGGGAAATCTGCAGACAGTTCAAAATAAAACACAACCAAACAACTCTCCCGGAGCAGAAAATGTGCTTGGAGACGCCAGTGTCTGTCATCTCCAACAACAGCTGAAGATATGTTTAAGAGACCATCAACAGCTTACCTTAATCTGTGATTTGCTGCAGGATTAAGCTTCCTAATTTGTTCAAATGTCAAATCACATATTCGACCAGTGCCATCTGTCGTCCTATCCACTGTGTTATCGTGCATTAAGACGGGAACCCCATCAGAGGTAAACTCAATGTCCAGCTCCACGCCTGTGGCTCCATTCTTAGCTGCCTTAACAAAAACATCAACAATATTAATGTCGAGTGTCATTTTGCAATACAAACACTCAAGGCAACCAACAGCTACTCTTACGGATTCTTTTCAAATTCAATTTATCCGTTCCTCAACTGATGGACCACTTCTGTTGTTTCCACTTTTTGACTATTATGAATAACACTATGAACATTCGTATCCAAATTTTTATGTTTCAATTCTTTTGGGTGTATACCTAGGAGTGGAATTGCTGGATCATACAGTAACTCTATGTTTCACCTTTTGAAGAACTGCCAGACTGTTTTCCCACTAGCTCTTAAATCAGTGAAAAATATTTAAAAAAAAAAAAAAGCAAATGACATTTGAGCTGAGACCATAATAGACAAAAGGAAGTCAACCATATGAAGATCCAGGGGAAGAATGTTCCAAGCAGAATAAATAGCAAGTATAATACAAAGGCCACAAAGTGACCTCATCTATTGATTCTTGACCTAAACAGCATACATCTGTGGACGTCTTTATCCCATTACCCTATTTCTCGATTGCATTTTCGCTCTCTTAAAGACTCTCATGTATGTATTTACGTGTTTAAGGCCTGTCTCCTGGACTCCAGTGCAACTTCTGTACAAGCCAGATGCCTTTCTGTCTTGTCCATGACTGCATGCTCAGCGCCTGGCACCTGGCAAACATGAGCGTACTCGCTGGGTTCTATAAATACTTGAAGTCGGGAGGCTTGCCAGACGTCAAAGGGATGGAGGGCCACTTCAATGTCTTCCCGGCGGGCGAATGGGGTTATGGGAAGGCAGGCAATCGTGAGAAGACGGGGGAACCTTCGGAAAAGACACGCAGGAAGCAGTCCCAGCTCCCCGGAGGTGCGCGAGGCGGCCGGGGTCTCACCTGCCGAATGGCCGCCAGCGTGTTCTCGGGGGCGTCGTGGCAGCCGCCGCGGTGGGCGATGGCGGAGACGCGGTCGCGGGGCCGCAGCACCTGCAGGGCCCGGCGCGCGGGCAGAGGCTCGAAGCTGAAGAGGCGCAGCAGGAGGTAGAGGATGCCGGTGAAGAGGCAGGCATTGCAGGGGCTGCGCGTCACCAGCAGGAACAGCAGCAGCAGGAAGGAGAAGGGGCCCAGGAGGCCCCCCTGTGTCTCCCACAGCCACATGCCGGCGCCCGCACCGGCACGGGCGGGAATCCCGGACCCGCCGGGCTCCCGGGACAGGAGAGCGAGAAGCAAGGGCAAGATTTCAAGGCACTCACCGCAGGAGCACCCTTCAAGGGTTACAGCGCCGCGCAATGGCGGCGGCGGCGGCGGTCACATCCGGAGAGGAGCCTGCAGCCCAGCCAATCAGGGCCGGGGACCTGCAGAGGTCGGGGGCGGAGCCTCTGGGTGGCCCCGGAGGCGGGCCCAGGTCCCAGGCTCGCGTCCCAAAAGCGCTTTTGGGGTGATTTCTGGGGTCTGGACATCAGCGCGGCTTTCAGACCCCAGAAGGAGAGGGGTGCAAGAGCCGTTGTACGGTTGCACGACTGCACGGGTTCTTAATGACTCCTTCATTCTGCCCTCGAGGACACTGCCCTGAGAGCCTGGAAGGGGCAGGACGCTTTCTACTATTCAGTTCAATCCCCGGCTCAAGACACAGCCGTGTACAGGACCCAAGGAGTCCCTGCTCTCCTGGGGCTTACATTCTCGTGGGGGTAAATAATAGTGTTTGAGTGCAGCTAACATGTGTTGAGCACCTAGCATGCTCCAGATTATGTGTGAGCAAATGCTTCGTGCATTACATCATATATTCTCACAACACTGTCATTGGGTAGGCATTATCTCAGGAAGCTGAAACCACTGGACTTTAGAAGGATTTTTCAGCCTGGTCGGTGTGGGGCAGTGGCTGAATGTCAACCTATAAACCAGGAAGTCAAGGTTGGATTCCCAGTCAGGACATGTGCCCAGGTTGTGGGCCCTATTCCCAGTAAGGGGTGTGCAGGAGGCAGCCGATCAATGATTCTCTCTCATCATTGATGTTTCTCTCCCTCTCCCTTCCTCTATAAAATCAATAAAAATATTTTTTAAAGAATTCTTCAGATTTGGAGGGAATGAAAGAGCATAGCAAAAGGAGGCATAATCCTATATAATAATCCTATATAATAAAAGGGTAATATGCAAAATGACCCTAACCGTGAACAGGTTGCTATGATGTATACTGACCACCAGGGGGCAGACCCTCCACACAGGAGCTGCCCCTGGTGGTCAGTGTGCTCCCACAGGGGGAGCTCCACTCAGACAGAAGCAGGGCTGATGGCTGCAAGTAGAGTGGTTCCAGCCTCTCCCGCCTCCACCGCAGCACTAAGTATGTCTGACAGCGGCTTAGGCCTACTCCCCGCAGCTGCCAGAGGGCTGTCTGACTGCCAGCTTAGGCCCAATCCCCCGGGGAGCGGGCCTAAGCCTGCAGGTGGACATCACCAAGGGTTCCAGACTGTGAGAGGGCACAGTTTGGGCTGAAGGACACCACCCCCCCCCCACCCCTGAGTGCACGAATTTTCATGCACCATGTCTCTAGTTGAATTATAAAGCTGGGAGGGATCTTAAGGATTCACTCAATTCATAGATGAGCAAACTGAGGCCAGAAGAAGTGAAGTGAATAGGGCAGTAAATGGCAGTCTGGACTGACTTGAAGCCACCCCAGTGTTAGGCCAGTGACTTTTCTACCATTACTCCTCCTCCTAACCTTGCTTCTCCATCTGCTAAGGGCCAATAGTGGAAGGAATTATGTTGTTTCTCATAACCACCCTTGTGACAGTCATTTTTAAAACTCTCATTTTACATATGTAAAACTATGCACAGGAAAGAGCCAGGAAGTAAAACCGAGTTAGGAAATGAAAGAGGCCACTACATCATATTTCGCAAAGCCGGTAACATGTTTAGATAGAGAACTTTGTTAAAACATTCGGGCTTTTCCTGTCATCTTGAACCTGTCACCTTTCTCAGACATTATTTTCCCACTGATTTGCAAAAGGGTAAAGGATGTCTTAAATTTGAGAGTTGGCATCTAGGATTCTGCAATATTATATTTACAGAAAAAAATTTCGATGAATGTCGTGTTTTCCAACGATCACACATTAAAAAAAAAAAAAAAAAAAAAAAAAAAAAAAAAAAAGGAGCGTTCCCATTCTAATTATAGTAGCAGCGGCCTTAGCTTGCTGTGAAGACTACACTTCCCATCGTACATTGCGCTCTCATGAGTACGCCCTCTATAACTGGGACAGAACGCAAGCGCGCAATGCACCTCAGGAATTGTAGTTTCCTGGTGGCCCAACCGTTTCAACGGCCCGGGAAGCAACTACCGGAAGTGCCGGCCCTGAGAGGTGGAGTCCGGGCGGCGGCGGCCGTTGCCTGGAGCCCGCGCTGCCGCCTGAGACCGATAATATGGCCGGGAGGAGGAGGAGAAGGCGGCGGTGGACCGAGCTGCTCTCTTTCAGTACCAGTTGAACCGTTTGCTTCCTGACAAGGCCCGTGGTGAGGGAACGAAAGGTGACCGGGCCGTGGGCGATCGGGTGTGCACGTGCTGAGGGGGCTTGACTCCGAGAATCCCTGCGGCGGGGCCACCGGCGAGGCGGCATTGGCGCCTCAGGAGCTGAGGGCGGGCTCTGTACGGAACCGAGCGCCAGCGCCGGGCTCCCGGGCCTCGAGCCCCTGGAAAGGCGCGGGTGTGGGGAGGCGGAGCTCGGGCGCCGGCGGCATGGGGCGCGCAGGTGATGCTCGGATGCTGGCGCTGCCTCGCGGGCCCTCGGGATGGAGCCGCATCGCAGGGAGAAGGGCGTGGGGCGCTGGGGTGAGAGCAGAGGGTCCGGGTTCGTAAACTCCGGCTCGAGCCGGAGAACCACCTCCTGTGGACAAAAATGGGCCTTTTTTCTTCTCCCTGCGGTGCTGGCGAGGGCGGAGTCCCCGGGGTGTGCACTAGCCACGTCTGAACGCGGTTACCACGACCAGGCGCCCTAGGACCCTCTGGGGCAGGAGGATAATAAAGCAAAGTGTCCTGATTGCCCCTGGTGCTGCCACTCTTTGCTTCTATCTGGTTTTGATCCCAGCTCCCTATCCCGAATTGAGGCAAATGGCAGGTGCTAGAGATCGATTTAATGGGGGAAGGGTCTGGAAACAGCCAGAGGCGGAAGCCGTTGCCCCGCTCTCCACGTTTTTAAGTTACCTTTGAGTGTTAGTAGGAGCCAGGCACTGTCACTGCCCTCCAGTTCCTAGTGCAGCGATAAACATCATCTTCCTCAGATCGTCATCTGCATAATAAAAGCAGCCCCCACGTATTGATGCTTCCTGCACGTCCCGCAGGAGCCTAGTTCTACCAGTTACCCTCGCAGCATCCCTTGGAGGCCGATGGGGTTATCCCTGTTTCGCAGATGATTCTGAGGCCTGGCGATGGTGAGTGAATTGCCAAGCGCTCACAGCTAGTATGAGCCTAAGAAACCTTCCCCGTCATTGCCGCCATAAGAAGTTTATGTCGCCCTAACCCAGTGGTTCTCAACCTTCCTAATGTTCCTTCAGTACAGTTCCTCATGTTGTGGTGACCCCCCAACCATAAAATTATTTTCGTTGCTACTTCATAACTGTAATTTTGCTGCTGTTAAGAATCGTAATGTAAATACCTGATATGCAGGACGTATTTTCATTGGTGACCCACAGGTTGGGTCTAACCGGATTGGCTCAGTGGATAGAGCCTCGGCCTGCGGACTGAAGGGTCCCAGGTTCGATTCCGGTCAAGGGCATGTACCTTGGTTGCGGGCACATCCCCAGGAGGCAGCTGATCGATGTTTCTCTCTCCATGTTTCTAACTCTCTATCCCTCTCCCTTCCTCTCTGTAAAAAAATCAATAAAAATATATATTTTTTAAAAAAAGAAGTGTATGTCTTGGGAAGGTTGGCGGGCAAACAACCAGCTAGAATCTGAAAGCAAAGCCTGACGTTTCTGGCAGAGCACTGGTGAGGAGCAGCTAGCCTGGCCATGGGCCTGCGGTTTGAAAAGAGGCTTATTTGGAGAAAGGTCCTGGTATAAATGCAGAAGACAGGCATGTCTGAACTTGAGGCAGCTGGCAGACCACTAGCTCCAGTGGGCCAGTAATGCCTGATGGCCAAGTGTGGGGCCGAAGATGTGTGGCTGGGGTGGCCAAGCTTGTAGTCAAGGCTCCCTTAAAGTAAAACCCCTCTGACAGAGATAATTGTGTTGTGAGAGAGGAGTGCCCTCTTGCTTAATCAAATAGGATACGGATGCTCACTTTTTGAATGGGTTGCCTTTGCAATTTAGAGGTTCCAGGTTCTTCGAAAATACGGTCATCTGTGAAACTGCCGTTCTCCAAAGTCCATTCTGCCTTACTAGCTTTTTTCTGGTTTGCATTATTGTTTGAGCTTATTACCCTAATATATATTTATTCAATACTTTTTTATCAAGTGCTACTGTGTTGCCTACACTGTTCTGTGTCATGGGGATTCAGCCGTGAGCAAGACTCGGAAAGCACCTGTGCTTATGGAGCTTACGATTTGGTGGAGGAAGACAGACAAAAGCCAAGGAAATAAACAAGATAATTTCAGATAGTGGTAAGTGCTATGAAAATTGGAAAGCAGCAGTGTAATGTGGCAGTGACGGACACAGGGCTAATTTAAAGGGACAGCCTTTCAAAGGTGGAGACCTACAAGCTGAGACTGAAGGATAAGAAGGATCCAGTCAGGCTCTTCTGGGATCATTTGGTGATTTCCATAATCGTATTAGCACTTGTATTGGGATATTTTATGCATTATCATATGCCATAAGTTACACTGTTTATAATAATAAATTACTGTACATCTGCAATATGTATGACATGCATGTACTGTTTAAGGGATATGAATTTAATTTTCTGAAACAGTGAGGCATATCTATATGACGTTGTTGAAAGAAAAATAAAACTATTGCCATAAAACCATTTTATTTCCTTAAATTTCCCAGACCTTTAAAATGGAATTTCATGCTTTGCGTGTGTATTCATAGGAAATATGTTACATTGATTATATAAGTAATCTATTTATGTTCCCTGTAATGCTGGATGCATTACATACTTTGAAGTATTTTAGTAGAAATGGGGTTATTTGAATTTCTCTTACATCTTAGCTTCTGCATATTTGGTTGTTAAGATATCATAATATGGGTTGAAATGTAGACTAAAAATTGAGGTATTATTATGGTTATCATGCAGTAAGGTGTTGGTTTTGTTTTTTACTTTTGCTTGTTTTATGAATATAAGTTTGAAAAATAACCTCATTCAACTCAAGAGAACCATT